GTCGGGCTGCAGTCAATCTCACGGCAATCTCCTCCAGGAGAACCAGCTACCATGATCTTGTCAAGTCTTGCGGCAACTATTCCGCCAGGCTACTTGTGCTAGCACATGCAATTTATTCATGCGGGCCCATATAATTACTCATGCGACCCCGTGCAACCGTCGCGGCCCTCCTGGCCCGGCGAGTTCCGAGACAGTGAAGGCAGGCCCGCCCGCCCCGTCGTGGCCTCAGCTCAGAGTAAGGTTCCCGGCTAGTACGGAACCTTGCCCTGGCTTAAGTCCCGAGTTCGGCCGGGCAGAACATGCCGAATCACCTTAGCAGGTTCAATGTGAGGAATTAGAATCAGGGCAAGGGGATGATTCTATGAACTTCAGGGCGGACGCCAACTACTAGAGGAGGAGATGTCGCCTGAGACTTGCTGAGCAGCTTATCCTGATTCGCCAAGTTGACAGGTTTGTACTTGCATGGATCGAACATCCATTATCAGTTCCTCCATCGGGGCTTCGTGTTGTGATTGGAGGGCCATGTTCTGATAGATAAACATAGATGCGTATTCATACCAACAGAAGCCCTCGGCTCCCGGGCCTCCATTCAAGCGGATGCATGCTATAAAATCTTTGACACCGTCGCGCTGCCTGACGCCATGAACACTGCTGTTCGGGCTAACGCAGTCATTCCTCCTGTTCTGCCCCTCCACTTTCCCTTGCAACAAACTAATTGTTCCATGTGCGGCCTTGAAATCGCGTTCGAGACCGCTGGTGTAAATCATTGTATCAATCTTTCATAATTCCCAGGAGCGTTCATGAAGCGATCTTGGCAAGATCGTCTGACAACCACCACCTTACCTCTGAGTTGCATAAACTTTCCGATGGTTGCTCAATACATCGAACATAGAATTCCCAAACTACCATGGTCGGAGTCTGGGAACTATTCTCGTGATGTCGGAAGAGGTCACACTACTACTGAAGGTAATATGGCCCATGATGCAAGCCTTGAAGGGGAACGACCGCGGCATCTTCCGCTGCGCCGGCAGCGACTATGGCGGAACAAGAAGAGCTCTTCCTGCGTGGCAGCGGTACCATAGCGCACTTGTCGACCACGCGCACCATGCCCCTCCAGGTCCTCGCTGCGGTCTTCAAGGTAGGAGCGTATCAACGACATAGCCTCGAGCTCGGTTACAGCGACGTGAAGAAGCTCGAGCGAGGCAAGGCGTCTTCGCAGCGGTTCCGCATGAAGCTCAATGCTTGCTTCCAGTCCAAGGTCCCCCAGAGCCTGCCGCCAAGCATGCTCTTTAACGGAACCTCTGAGAGCGAGCGAGGCGATCCTCACGAGGGGATGGTTTGTCAAGCTGACATGACGGTCTGTTTGAAGCACGATGCGTATCTCTCTGTCTTGCTCCAGACCGTGATAGACAACCCAGCGAGCGACGTCATAGCAGTCATGCCGGGCCCGGCGGGGTCGGCGGATTACAAGCAAGTACATGTCAAACAGCACGAGTACATCTCGTTCGAGATGGCAGAGACGCCAGACAAGGTGTGCGAAAAGATCTACCAGCTCAGCCGGCTATGTCACGTTCTGAAGGAGGAGTTTATCGGAGAGCAAGCGAGGATTGCAGCTACGGGGATACTGGTGAATGGCAAGAGAGAAGACTTCGAGCTCGGGGCTGAGGTAGTGAGATCGTTCTTGTCAGAGGCCAAGGCTGATCCCGACCTTTGCGAGCTTTTCGACTGGCAAGTGCCCATGTTTGTGTGCTATGCTCCCATTCGAACAGATCTCGATGCCAGCAGGTCAGAAATCGAGCTCCTCAGGATGGAAGTCGCTGACATGAGATCAAGAGACAAGGCCCTCAGAGCAGAGCTCCTCAACGGACTAGCAGCATACATGTCGGACGACTACTTTCATTGCAAGGCTGACGCCATGAATGCGCTTAACGATCTCTCTATGACTACCTCAAGGATGAGACCAAGTGATGTAGAAGCGCGATGCTGTAAGGCTGCCGTCAGCTTGCGCCGGGACCCAGTCCCTGGCACAGTGCGGGAGGAGAGACATAGTTTGCGAATAGCTTGAAGCCGCCTCCTGTTGCGATCGTAATACATCACAGCTGTCCCTGTCACAGCCTTGGTAATTAATGCTGCTTATGGTCGAGACGATGTGCGGCCGGCATTCACACCCGCCGTCGGGATGCCCACCGATGCGTCAAGACCTCTCCCGACAGCCCGGCCGGCTGACAGCAGAGCACAGCCCGCATCTACCTCCCGACTAGTATCGCCACAGCCTGCATGGTCACCTACCCACGTGGGATGTTACTGCAAGCCCGCTCCCGAGCGCCCATGAAGCGGACTACTCGGATCTCTGCTCTCCGCACTCTCCCAAATGAGGCTCAAGTGCAGCAGCTTCTGCGATTCAAACCGAGAAATTTCTGAAGCAACATCGCAAGCAGCGAGATTACAAGTGGCAAAGATGAAGTTGCGTTTCGTTGGACCTTTCAAGATACATGAGAAAGTTTCGGATAGTTCAGTTCGATTGGAATTCACAGCAAGGTTTCAGCATTTGAAGAAAACGGTTTTCAATGTGTCGAAGCTCATGGCGGCGGCAGTGGGCATGACATGACCTGGGGTGTTGGCACGGACTCATCAGTACAAGGCGATTTGTTCAAGTGGGACACAGGTGAAATCTGTATGGTTCCTCAAAATTACGATTTTGTGCAGAAGGTAGACTGTAAGAACCTGTGGCAACGTTGGCACTGTGGGGAACAATTTGTTGAGAATGGAATAGCAAAAAAGATATGCCCTTTGAAGAAGTTGAAACCGGAATTTATCCGCAAGAAAAGGATGCGGCAAAACTTTTGCAAGGCACGGAAAGTTATGGAGAAGCTTGAGCACATGGCAAGAGATGAAGGCGGACTAGAGGGACAGGAGAAAGTCACTGTAGAGAATTACCAAAATTGTTTTGACACAGCATACAAAAAGCTTATAGAAAAAATTTATGGGGATGATTCATGGAAGAAGGAAAACGAGAAGAAGAAGTATGAAAGCTTGTCGTACATTACAGTTTACAAGTATATACGGCGGCCACCTGCAGAGGCAAACGACATTGACAGCAGGTGAGATGAATGAGATAAATGTTATACTGGTCAAACTGATGAAATGCTCATGATCAGTGATCGTATCCACGATGAACGAAGTGGAGAAGCTTTGCGAAGGACACATGAGGAAAGAATGAATGAAGAACAGGTGAACCCACTGGAAGGGGTCATCGCAACTTCGAATGCTTCGCAATCAAGTACGTTAGCCTAGAAACGCCTAGTAACATCATTACAACTGGACATGAAAATGTGCATCAAGAAGCAACATTTAATGTAAGATCATTTATGCCTGAAACAGAATATAACTGACTCAATCGACGAAATATTCTTTTGGGAAGAACAGCAGAGCTTTGACCCAGGACAACTACAGGGAAGAGTTCTTACCTGCCAGTGTGCGAGTAGCAAATTCAGGCTTCCGTGAATGCTAAAGCTTCCACTAAAGCTTCCGTGAATGCTTTGTACTTGGCACTTCGATGTTTCTACTCGATCTCTTTGTTGGAACTGCTTCGCTGGGTAGATGAAAGATACAGGCTACTCTCTGACTCAAGGGATGCTTGTCTCCTGGCAAAGGACTTAGCCATTTTCCACGAAGCTGTTGTTTTAAAATAGTTTTAGCTTGAAGGATTGGTACACATTTGTACCAGAATATTGAGTGAAGATGGTGGGGTCACGTACAAAGTTGGGGTTCATGTGTCGTAGTAATAATGACTCAACTCCTCAAGAAGGATTTAAATACTAGGGCATCCACGGTTGCGCGTGCCATAGGGTTGGTTCAATCTCTCTGAGGCGGACTGGGTTGAGTGCTGGATGGCGGTGGCTACAACGATGATGCAGTTGTTGGCGCTTGAGCTGCCGACGATGATCGTCGGGACGCTGGTTCCTGCCCACTCATGGTCTTGCTCCTCCGTGTCTTGCAACTCGAAGTGGATCTCTTCATGGCCCGGTATTGCTCGTGATCCTTCTTGCTGGTCTGAGGGTCTGGTTAAGCACACGAGAGGTGGAGGAGGATCAGAGGATCAGGTGAAGCTTCAGATAGAGGAGGTACAGCGAGAGATCAAGGAAGTAAAACAAGAGATCAAGCAGGCACAACAAGAGATCAAGGAAGTACAACACGAGATCAAGGAGGTTCTGAAAAGGATCGAGCATGAACAGGATTCAACGATGAAGACGGTCCTTGTAGAGCGGGTGACGCATCTTGAAGTGCGAGAGAAGCAGCTTGGAGAGCAGCTTGGAGAGCGGTTGAAGCAGCTGCGTGATCTCCAGAGGCAAAGCAGAAAATCCGATGGGACACGGATTGACTGGGTCGAGTCAGAGGCAGCATTGGAGCGGACAGGCTTTTGCCATGGCAACAAGTACTTTCGTTTCGATGCATCATACCTGCAAGGCGACGGCGAGACACTGCTTTACTGCCGGAAAGCATTCCACGAGCAGCAACGTTTCCTGAGGGAGCAGGTGTTAGAGAGCCGGGCCTTGGGCTGGATCCAAGGTCCGCCGGGAACTGGCAAGACGACGACGACGCTAGCCTTCTGCTTGTCGCTTGGCATGGAGGAGTGGAGCGTGACATTCTTTCAGCTCGATGCAACTAAGGGGACTGAGTGCATTCAGATCGTACGGTCTAAGAGGAGATCGTGCACGATACCAGCAGAATGCTCGCTGAAATGGACCAGGAAAATACTAGAAGATTGGCCGGACAGCGAGAAGCGTCTTGTGGTCATCGATGGCTACTTAAGGCACGAGTCGCATCATGCACACTGCTATCGAGCATGTACGACATGGCTCCTAGGTGACAGACAGAATCGACGGGTTATCGTTGTGACGTCGATGTCTGGAGGAAAGGTTCGGGACAGGTTCGAAGATGATGTGAATCTGATGCCGCACACCGTTGTATCATGGACAACTGGTGAGTACCTGAATGCAGTGAAGTGCGATGCTTTCTACAAGAGGGTGAAAGCCATGCTAGCATTGCACGACACTGCGGTGCACATTGGTATGAGGATACGGAAGAGGAATGGAACGAGAGAAGAGCAGATTATGTCGAAGCATTACCTGGCTGGCGGCTCATGTCGGTACATGTTCGAAAAGACGGCAGCGGTGGTGAAGCAGAGGCTGGATCGGGCTCTTACATCGTGTCGAAACCTAGAAAATCTGTTCCAGGGTATCGTTGGTGACTCCTCGTTGGATGCTGTAAATCACTTGACTGCACGGTACATGCATGGCGAAGAAGCGTCCTGGATGCCCGTGAGCAAGTACGTCGCCATGAAGCTAGCGGAAGTAGCGGAGGTGGGCGTTTTGAAAAGACTGTTGGATGGGACAAGCATTCCCAGCATAAGGGGCTACCTTTTCGAGCTTTTATTTTTCAAGAAGGTGAAGCAAGGGCTGACCCTGACGTATCGCCAGGGCGTGTCACGTGTGAATCAGGTTTGGATGGGATGCCCAGTGTTTCTTTTCGATGCGAACGAGGTCATGGAGGGTCTTCCTCAAGAGAGAGCATGCTTGAGGCCAATCAACGTGTTTCAACCAGGCTATGATGCTATTATTGTGAATGTGCGTGCGAAGTTGGTCGAGCTTGTGCAGGTGACAGTTTCATCGTCGCACTCATTTAAGCTCTCTCCCTTCGCAAAAGCTCTCAAGAAGCTCAACATCCCAACCAAGGGTTGGAAAGTGAAAGTAGTTTTCATCGTTCCGCCAGAAATGCTCGAGGATTTTCAGATCGACACTATCAAGAATTGCGGGGCGCTGGAGGAGTACGGATGGAAGAAGGGGTCCGAGGATAAGCAGGCAGAGGTAGCGAGTATGGATATGCTGTGACCTCGCATCACGGGAGGGCTGAGCACTCGCTTGAAGGGAGAGGCAAGATCTGACCAAGAAATGTTGCGCTGAACAAAGGAATGCATGCTTGTCGGGCTGCAAGTCAATCTCACGGCAATCTCCTCCAGGAGAACCAGCTACCATGATCTTGTCAAGTCTTGCGGCAACTATTCCGCCAGGCTACTTGTGCTAGCACATGCAATTTATTCATGCGGGCCCATATAATTACTCATGCGACCCCGTGCAACCGTCGCGGCCCTCCTGGCCCGGCGAGTTCCGAGACAGTGAAGGCAGGCCCGCCCGCCCCGTCGTGGCCTCAGCTCAGAGTAAGGTTCCCGGCTAGTACGGAACCTTGCCCTGGCTCAAGTCCCGAGTTCGGCCGGGCAGAACATGCCGAATCACCTTAGCAGGTTCAATGTGAGGAATTAGAATCAGGGCAAGGGGATGATTCTATGAACTTCAGGGCGGACGCCAACTACTAGAGGAGGAGATGTCGCCTGAGACTTGCTGAGCAGCTTATCCTGATTCGCCAAGTTGACAGGTTTGTACTTGCATGGATCGAACATCCATTATCAGTTCCTCCATCGGGGCTTCGTGTTGTGATTGGAGGGCCATGTTCTGATAGATAAACATAGATGCGTATTCATACCAACAGAAGCCCTCGGCTCCCGGGCCTCCATTCAAGCGGATGCATGCTATAAAATCTTTGACACCGTCGCGCTGCCTGACGCCATGAACACTGCTGTTCGGGCTAACGCAGTCATTCCTCCTGTTCTGCCCCTCCACTTTCCCTTGCAACAAACTAATTGTTCCATGTGCGGCCTTGAAATCGCATTCGAGACCGCTGGTGTAAATCATTGTATCAATCTTTCATACTTCCCAGGAGCGTTCATGAAGCGATCTTGGCAAGATCGTCTGACAACCACCACCTTACCTCTGAGTTGCATAAACTTTCCGATGGTTGCTCAATACATCGAACATAGAATTCCCAAACTACCATGGTCGGAGTCTGGGAACTATTCTCGTGATGTCGGAAGAGGTCACACTACTACTGAAGGTAATATGGCCCATGATGCAAGCCTTGAAGGGGAACGACCGCGGCATCTTCCGCTGCGCCGGCAGCGACTATGGCGGAGGAAGAACAGCTCTTCAGGCTGCGTGGCAGCGGTACCATAGCGCACTTGTCGACCACGCGCACCATGCCCCTCCAGGTCCTCGCTGCGGTCTTCAAGGTAGGAGCGTATCAACGACATAGCCTCGAGCTCGGTTACAGCGACGTGAAGAAGCTCGAGCGAGGCAAGGCGTCTTTGCAGCGGTTCCGCATGAAGCTCAATGCTTGCTTCCAGTCCAAGGTCCCCCAGAGCCTGCCGCCAAGCATGCTCTTTGACGGAACCTCTGAGAGCAAGCGAGGCGATCCTCACGTCGGGATGGTTTGTCAAGCTGACATGACGGTCTGTTTGAAGCACGATGCGTATCTCTCTGTCTTGCTCCAGACCGTGATAGACAACCCAGCGAGCGACGTCATAGCAGTCATGCCGGGCCCGGCGGGGTCGGCGGATTACAAGCAAGTACATGTCAAACAGCACGAGTACATCTCGTTCGAGATGGCAGAGACGCCAGACAAGGTGTGCGAAAAGATCTACCAGCTCAGCCGGCTATGTCACGTTCTGAAGGAGGAGTTTATCGGAGAGCAAGCGAGGATTGCAGCTACGGGGATACTGGTGAATGGCAAGAGAGAAGACTTCGAGCTCGGGGCTGAGGTAGTGAGATCGTTCTTGTCAGAGGCCAAGGCTGATCCCGACCTTTGCGAGCTTTTCGACTGGCAAGTGCCCATGTTTGTGTGCTATGCTCCCATTCGAACAGATCTCGATGCCTGCAGGTCAGAAATCGAGCTCCTCAGGATGGAAGTCGCTGACATGAGATCAAGAGACAAGGCCCTCAGAGCAGAGCTCTTCAACGGACTAGCAGCATACATGTCGGACGACTACTTTCATTGCAAGGCTGACGCCATGAATGACCTTAACCATCTCTGTGACTACCTCGACGAAGATGAGACCGAGTGATGTAGAAGCGCGATGCTGTAAGGCTGCCGTCAGCTTGCGCCGGGACCCAGTCCCTGGCACAGTGCGGGAGGAGAGACATAGTTTGCGAATAGCTTGAAGCCGCCTCCTGTTGCGATCGTAATACATCACAGCTGTCCCTGTCACAGCCTTGGTAATTAATGCTGCTTATGGTCGAGACGATGTGCGGCCTGCATTCACACCCGCCGTCGGGATGCCCACCGATGCGTCAAGACCCCTCCCGACAGCCCGGCCGGCTGACAGCAGAGCACAGCCCGCATCTACCTCCCGACTAGTATCGCCACTGCCTGCATGGTCTCCTACCCACGTGTGATGTTACTGCAAGCCCGCTCCCGAGCGCCCATGAAGCGGACTACTCGGATCTCTGCTCTCCGCACTCTCCCAAGTGAGGCTCAAGTGCAGAACCTTGACCAGACTGCTCGCGTCATGATCACAACCGACTCGAAATACTTTCAATGCGCTTGTTATTCGAGTATACACAGGTCCCTCCCAAACACCTCAATCCCCAACAACGCTCTGCTCCTCCTTCTGTCTCATCTCACGCGCCGCAGTCTCGATGTGAACCAGGAACCTGCCAAGCAAGCTTCAGCTCGCGCCTGCTGCATCCTTGCCACAGCTCACCTATCGAGGCTCCTCTTTGATGAGGTCATGGCTCTCTTCCAGCGTCGTCGAGACCACGTGCACCTGCGCTAGTGACTGGGGGATCGCGCTCCTACTCGACTTCACGTCCTGCGACTCGTGCCCCACTATGACCACTGAGCGAGCATGCCGGGCCCTCTGGCGCGGACTTGCTGTAGCTGAAGACGACTGTCGGATCTTGTCGTTGTCTGCTTCGAAACGAAAAAAAAAACATCAATCCTACCAGAGAGATGCTGCCTTTCCTCTTTTCTACTCTCTGACTCTGAGGTCAGCGCGATCTTCTATCAGACACCCCCCCCCCCATAGGGCCCATGATGCAAGCCTTGAAGGGGAACGACCGCGGCATCTTCCGCTGCGCCGGCAGCGACTATGGCGGAGGAAGAACAGCTCTTCAGGCTGCGTGGCAGCGGTACCATAGCGCACTTGTCGACCACGCGCACCATGCCCCTCCAGGTCCTCGCTGCGGTCTTCAAGGTAGGAGCGTATCAACGACATAGCCTCCAGCTCGATTACAGCGACGTGAAGAAGCTCGAGCGAGGCAAGGCGTCTTTGCAGCGGTTCCGCATGAAGCTCAATGCTTGCTTCCAGTCCAAGGTCCCCCAGAGCCTGCCGCCAAGCATGCTCTTTGACGGAACCTCTGAGAGCAAGCGAGGCGATCCTCACGTCGGGATGGTTTGTCAAGCTGACATGACGGTCTGTTTGAAGCACGATGCGTATCTCTCTGTCTTGCTCCAGACCGTGATAGACAACCCAGCGAGCGACGTCATAGCAGTCATGCCGGGCCCGGCGGGGTCGGCGGATTACAAGCAAGTACATGTCAAACAGCACGAGTACATCTCGTTCGAGATGGCAGAGACGCCAGACAAGGTGTGCGAAAAGATCTACCAGCTCAGCCGGCTATGTCACGTTCTGAAGGAGGAGTTTATCGGAGAGCAAGCGAGGATTGCAGCTACGGGGATACTGGTGAATGGCAAGAGAGAAGACTTCGAGCTCGGGGCTGAGGTAGTGAGATCGTTCTTGTCAGAGGCCAAGGCTGATCCCGACCTTTGCGAGCTTTTCGACTGGCAAGTGCCCATGTTTGTGTGCTATGCTCCCATTCGAACAGATCTCGATGCCTGCAGGTCAGAAATCGAGCTCCTCAGGATGGAAGTCGCTGACATGAGATCAAGAGACAAGGCCCTCAGAGCAGAGCTCCTCAACGGACTAGCAGCATACATGTCGGACGACTACTTTCATTGCAAGGCTGACGCCATGAATGACCTTAACCATCTCTGTGACTACCTCGACGAAGATGAGACCGAGTGATGTAGAAGCGCGATGCTGTAAGGCTGCCGTCAGCTTGCGCCGGGACCCAGTCCCTGGCACAGTGCGGGAGGAGAGACATAGTTTGCGAATAGCTTGAAGCCGCCTCCTGTTGCGATCGTAATACATCACAGCTGTCCCTGTCACAGCCTTGGTAATTAATGCTGCTTATGGTCGAGACGATGTGCGGCCTGCATTCACACCCGCCGTCGGGATGCCCACCGATGTGTCCAGACCTCTCCCGACAGCCCGGCCGGCTGACAGCAGAGCACAGCCCGCATCTACCTCCCGACTAGTATCGCCACAGCCTGCATGGTCTCCTACCCACGTGGGATGTTACTGCAAGCCCGCTCCCGAGCGCCCATGAAGCGGACTACTCGGATCTCTGCTCTCCGCACTCTCCCAAGTGAGGCTCAAGTGCAGCACCTTGACCAGACTGCTCGCGTCACGATCACAACCGACTCGAAATACTTTCAATGCGCTTGTTATTCGAGTATACACAGGTCCCTCCCAAACACCTCAATCCCCAACAACGCTCTGCTCCTCCTTCTGTCTCATCTCACGCGCCGCAGTCTCGATGTGAACCAGGAACCTGCCAAGCAAGCTTCAGCTCGCGCCTGCTGCATCCTTGCCACAGCTCACCTATCGAACTCCTCTTTGATGAGGTCATGGCTCTCTTCCAGCGTCGTCGAGACCACGTGCACCTGCGCTAGTGACTTGGGGATCGCGCTCCTACTCGGCTTGACGTCCTGCGACTCGTGCCCCACTATGACCACTGAGCGAGCATGCCGGGCCCTCTGGCGCGGACTTGCTGTAGCTGAAGACGACTGTCGGATCAGCACACAGCAGAAAAGGGTCTCACCATTGATCCAGATCCTTCTCCTCCCCAGCGTTCCCAGCGTCGTACACATAGCGTGATGTCGGAAGAGGTCACACTACTACTGAAGGTAATATGGCCCATGATGCAAGCCTTGAAGGGGAACGACCGCGGCATCTTCCGCTGCGCCGGCAGCGACTATGGCGGAGGAAGAACAGCTCTTCAGGCTGCGTGGCAGCGGTACCATAGCGCACTTGTCGACCACGCGCACCATGCCCCTCCAGGTCCTCGCTGCGGTCTTCAAGGTAGGAGCGTATCAACGACATAGCCTCGAGCTCGGTTACAGCGACGTGAAGAAGCTCGAGCGAGGCAAGGCGTCTTTGCAGCGGTTCCGCATGAAGCTCAATGCTTGCTTCCAGTCCAAGGTCCCCCAGAGCCTGCCGCCAAGCATGCTCTTTAACGGAACCTCAGAGAGCGAGCGAGGCGATCCTCACGAGGGGATGGTTTGTCAAGCTGACATGACGGTCTGTTTGAAGCACGATGCGTATCTCTCTGTCTTGCTCCAGACCGTGATAGACAACCCAGCGAGCGACGTCATAGCAGTCATGCCGGGCCCGGCGGGGTCGGCGGATTACAAGCAAGTACATGTCAAACAGCACGAGTACATCTCGTTCGAGATGGCAGAGACGCCAGACAAGGTGTGCGAAAAGATCTACCAGCTCAGCCGGCTATGTCACGTTCTGAAGGAGGAGTTTATCGGAGAGCAAGCGAGGATTGCAGCTACGGGGATACTGGTGAATGGCAAGAGAGAAGACTTCGAGCTCGGGGCTGAGGTAGTGAGATCGTTCTTGTCAGAGGCCAAGGCTGATCCCGACCTTTGCGAGCTTTTCGACTGGCAAGTGCCCATGTTTGTGTGCTATGCTCCCATTCGAACAGATCTCGATGCCTGCAGGTCAGAAATCGAGCTCCTCAGGATGGAAGTCGCTGACATGAGATCAAGAGACAAGGCCCTCAGAGCAGAGCTCTTCAACGGACTAGCAGCATACATGTCGGACGACTACTTTCATTGCAAGGCTGACGCCATGAATGCGCTTAACGATCTCTATGACTACCTCAACGAAGAAATTCCCGAGTGATGTAGAAGCGCGATGCTGTTAGGCTGCCGTCAGCTTGCGCCGGGACCCAGTCCCTGGCACAGTGCGGGAGGAGAGACATAGTTTGCGAATAGCTTGAAGCCGCCTCCTGTTGCGATCGTAATACATCACAGCTGTCCCTGTCACAGCCTTGGTAATTAATGCTGCTTATGGTCGAGACGATGTGCGGCCTGCATTCACACCCGCCGTCGGGATGCCCACCGATGCGTCAAGACCCCTCCCGACAGCCCGGCCGGCTGACAGCAGAGCACAGCCCGCATCTACCTCCCGACTAGTATCGCCACTGCCTGCATGGTCTCCTACCCACGTGTGATGTTACTGCAAGCCCGCTCCCGAGCGCCCATGAAGCGGACTACTCGGATCTCTGCTCTCCGCACTCTCCCAAGTGAGGCTCAAGTGCAGAACCTTGACCAGACTGCTCGCGTCATGATCACAACCGACTCGAAATACTTTCAATGCGCTTGTTATTCGAGTATACACAGGTCCCTCCCAAACACCTCAATCCCCAACAACGCTCTGCTCCTCCTTCTGTCTCATCTCACGCGCCGCAGTCTCGATGTGAACCAGGAACCTGCCAAGCAAGCTTCAGCTCGCGCCTGCTGCATCCTTGCCACAGCTCACCTATCGAGGCTCCTCTTTGATGAGGTCATGGCTCTCTTCCAGCGTCGTCGAGACCACGTGCACCTGCGCTAGTGACTGGGGGATCGCGCTCCTACTCGACTTCACGTCCTGCGACTCGTGCCCCACTATGACCACTGAGCGAGCATGCCGGGCCCTCTGGCGCGGACTTGCTGTAGCTGAAGACGACTGTCGGATCTTGTCGTTGTCTGCTTCGAAACGAAAAAAAAAACATCAATCCTACCAGAGAGATGCTGCCTTTCCTCTTTTCTACTCTCTGACTCTGAGGTCAGCGCGATCTTCTATCAGACACTCCCCCCCCGATAGGTCCTGTTTCACTTCGGCCCAACGACCGCGGCTTCTTCCGCTGCGCCGGCAGCGACTATGGCAGAGGAAGAACAGCTCTTCAGGCTGCGTGGCAGCGGTACCATAGCGCACTTGTCGACCACGCGCACCATGCCCCTCCAGGTCCTCGCTGCGGTCTTCAAGGTAGGAGCGTATCAACGACATAGCCTCGAGCTCGGTTACAGCGACGTGAAGAAGCTCGAGCGAGGCAAGGCGTCTTTGCAGCGGTTCCGCATGAAGCTCAATGCTTGCTTCCAGTCCAAGGTCCCCCAGAGCCTGCCGCCAAGCATGCTCTTTAACGGAACCTCAGAGAGCGAGCGAGGCGATCCTCACGAGGGGATGGTTTGTCAAGCTGACATGACGGTCTGTTTGAAGCACGATGCGTATCTCTCTGTCTTGCTCCAGACCGTGATAGACAACCCAGCGAGCGACGTCATAGCAGTCATGCCGGGCCCGGCGGGGTCGGCGGATTACAAGCAAGTACATGTCAAACAGCACGAGTACATCTCGTTCGAGATGGCAGAGACGCCAGACAAGGTGTGCGAAAAGATCTACCAGCTCAGCCGGCTATGTCACGTTCTGAAGGAGGAGTTTATCGGAGAGCAAGCGAGGATTGCAGCTACGGGGATACTGGTGAATGGCAAGAGAGAAGACTTCGAGCTCGGGGCTGAGGTAGTGAGATCGTTCTTGTCAGAGGCCAAGGCTGATCCCGACCTTTGCGAGCTTTTCGACTGGCAAGTGCCCATGTTTGTGTGCTATGCTCCCATTCGAACAGATCTCGATGCCTGCAGGTCAGAAATCGAGCTCCTCAGGATGGAAGTCGCTGACATGAGATCAAGAGACAAGGCCCTCAGAGCAGAGCTCTTCAACGGACTAGCAGCATACATGTCGGACGACTACTTTCATTGCAAGGCTGACGCCATGAATGCGCTTAACGATCTCTATGACTACCTCAACGAAGAAATTCCCGAGTGATGTAGAAGCGCGATGCTGTTAGGCTGCCGTCAGCTTGCGCCGGGACCCAGTCCCTGGCACAGTGCGGGAGGAGAGACATAGTTTGCGAATAGCTTGAAGCCGCCTCCTGTTGCGATCGTAATACATCACAGCTGTCCCTGTCACAGCCTTGGTAATTAATGCTGCTTATGGTCGAGACGATGTGCGGCCTGCATTCACACCCGCCGTCGGGATGCCCACCGATGCGTCAAGACCTCGCCCTCCCTCTTCCCCTCTCGCTCTTGCTCTCGCTCCTCCCTCTTCCTTTCGCCCTCCCTCCCCATCTCCGTCTCCGTCTCCCTCTTGCTTTCCCTCTCCCCCTCCCTCTCCCTCTCCCTCTCCCTCTACGTCTACCCCTCGCCTCTCCCTCTCCCTCTCCCTCTCCCTCTCCCTCTCCCTCTCCCTCTCCCTCTCCCTTTTCCTCCTTTCTCCGTCTCCGTCTTCGTCTCCGTCTCCGTCTCCCTCTCCTCTTCCTTTCCTCTCCCTCTCCTTCCCCCTCTCCTCTCCCTCTCCCTCTCCTTCTTCCCCTTCCCCTCTCCGTCTCCCTCTCGCTCCAACAAGACCTCTACCGGTCACCTTCCTTGCGCACGACAGGTCGGAGGGTAAGAGGAGACGCTGCGACTACTTGCTCCGGCCAGGCCCAGCCGCTGGTGGGGATGTAGCCTTGGTCCTGGTGATAGGGCTACGTATGTATGTCGAGTAAAGATACATGTACACTGACGTGTGGGACTGCGTGCGCTGATGATCGCGCGAGCAGCGGGTAGTCGGTACAAGCTGAAGAGGGCGAAAGGCAAGTCATGCGGTGGGTTTGATAGCTTGCACGGGTTCGTTCTAGTCGCGGCGGGGTTGCTCGGAGGAGAGTAGCGGCTTTCTGGCTTCTGCTGACCTTGGGAAGGCATCTCAGCACTGACCCAATGAAGACTCGCAGCTGCCTGTAGGCGTACCCGACGTTGATGTCTCATAGTTTGAGAAGCTAAATGCCGTCCAGTCCTCTTGTCTCGGCGATCAGGAGGGTCACTGAGCGGCCCAGTCGGATGTCCTGGAGTCAGAGGCAGCAGCCTGGCTTTCCAGCGGACTTTCAATGGCACCCTTGCCAGCTTTCAGCAGTGAGACAACCAAGAGAGTGGTATCATCCTGCGAATATTCATGACTAATCACTCCGACGATTCGCCGGATGCAGGAATGAATGAAGTTTTCCATGCAGTACAAATTCACTCAAATCCTTTTCACACGAAGGTTAAAGGTAATGGTTGACGTTTTCAAAACTTTGCTTTCATTCTGAAGTTTTGGCTTACAAACTTATCAAACAGAATTCTTCAAATGTAACAGTTGGAATTAATAACATCTCAGCCGAGCCAACGAAGTCCAAAAGTCGGCATCGGAGTTGCTGCTCTCACTCATAGTAGCATGCAAATACCATTGCAACACAATACAGGTGAGGATTAGTGTAATAAGCTGAAGCGTGGTTGTCTGTCTCTGTATCCCACAAGCATCGACTTGTAATTCTGACGCCCTGTCCCTGTACCTCTCCGATGGTGACCTACATGATGGCTGTCAGCTCGCACTCCTGCAAACTCAATTGTTTCTTGCCTGAACCACAAGCTTGTGCCGAGGCACTCCTATCTCTTTCACCTTCTCTTTGATCTCTGTGCAGAGCTCCTTGCTCAACTGCGCTGATTCGCTAGAATCATACTTCTTCCCCTTCAAGCGCTCCTCCAGCAGTGCCTTGACGGCCCTAATGACCTCGCCAGCTCGGAACTTCTCGTGCTCCTGAGGCTTGGTGATGTAGGTGTTCTCCACCACCTAGATGCAAGTGAGAGGACGATCATTCTTGGTTTTTTGAAACAATAAAATGTGCAACTCTAAGACATTCAAAGGGAACATCTTTGCGAGTCGGTGCTTCATGAATAGAGGATTGCAGCAAGACATCAGGATTTGCAAAGATCTTGTGCAAAACGCTAGAAGAATTTTGTTTTGAGCATAATTCCTTGTTTCATGTCATATGTCATCATTAGACATAATCGTTGCGTCTCATCTCACAATCACAAACTTGTTTAGAATAAAACAAGAAAACAAAGAGATTTTTCCACACCATTCAACCCACTCAGACAGCCAGCAGAACAAACATAACAGCAACTCCTTCGCTTGTTTCAGCCCCCATCCTCCAACCACACATGATCATCACCGAACCAGTCAGCATCCCAACTAGATCTCGGCATGAAACCTTCTAGTGATATATCCCTCATGCCATGTTTCTCCTCCATCGTCCTCGCCATCACCTGGATCTGCCCATGCATCTGCCCGTCTTCGTCCATGGCGCTCTTCCCGCCTTCTCGTCCGTTACTCCCAAGTCAACCGACAACACCGATGTTGACCCTCATCCCCTCATCCCCGTCTGCCGGACTCTCAGTGACTCCTGACTCGGAACCGCAAAGATCGGGCCCGGCCGGGCATCAAGCTTAATTTCAGTGTTGGTTCTCCGGCCCCGATGTTCCGGACCCTCATGCAGCACCTGACCTCGTGTGGGAGAAAATAGCCCCATAGCCAGGTGACGAGAGGGTAGGGTAGAATCAAGGGGGTGTCAGCCTTTCTAAAGGGGGATAGGGTAGTGAATTTCTCCCTGAGTACCGGTACATTTAATAGATTTTATCTGTCTGATGTGAGGGTACATATCATCAAGAACCGGTGTTAGTGCTTGATGCTGGGTGGTATGGAAACAGAGGGCAGGGGTAGGGGGTCTATAGGAAAAAAAAAGAAGCAGCACGAGAGAGGCACGCAAGCAGAGATGGCATAGAGCGAAGGACGAGGGAGTGTGAATGCAGACGGGAGAAGAGGGGGAGGAGGTTGAACAGAAGAGGGATGATGATGGTGATGTTGCATGCGAACGTAGTCGATGTTCTGCACAAGCAGAATCATCACATCGATGAGGAATGGCATGGTTCGATACCTGATTTGAGGGATGAATTCCAGAATGTAACCTAGTGTTCTATGCGGTATGTAGATTTTCCCGAAATTTCTTAGCTATCAAGTTAGATTCGATCCATAGTCATGATTGGAAGCTCATAGGCCAAGACGAGGAGCGTGGAATGGGTGGAGAGGTTGATACCTTTTGTACGGAATGGCTCCTTGCGATGTAGGCGTTAAGCTTCAATCCATGGTCGAACATGTAGACTCCAATCACACACATTCAAACACAGTGTTGTCCAGACATCGCATATGATGTATCTAGTCACATTCTTGTGGGTCTTGCGATTCCTGCTGTGAAGGGAATTTTCATGTCAGTTTGACAGAGTCTTTAAGCAAATTAGTGACAATTGAGGGAAGAGTTCTAACTGCTGGCGATAGACCATGACCAAGAAAAGGAGGAATGGTGGTAGAAATAAGCACGGACGTGGACACACTGCCATCATCCGCTGCTCCAACTGCGCCCGCTGCGTTCCTAAGGACAAGGCCGTGAAGCGCTTCCAGGTAACTTGTGCTCATGGTTGCCGTGTTGTCCTTCCTCTGCCCTCCATGATTTCTCATGGTGATAACGTGATTGTTCTCTTCTGTTTCTGCCATGCTGTATTGGAACAAACTTGTGATGTCTTGCTCCAACATAACGAGCTACTGTCAGGTTCGCAACATGGTCGAGGCCGGTTGCCAGCGAGACATGAGGGATGCAAGCGTTTTCGACAGCTACACCTTGCCTAAGCTGTACATGAAGCTTCAGTACTGCGTCTCCTGCGGTGAGCTTCCTCTCTCTTCTCCGTGTCTCTTCCCATGCCCTGTGCTGCTGCCAATTGCCGTTTCTCCTTTCTTCGTTCCCTGCTTCACTTTCTCGCTCCTCGCTGCATTTTCTGACTTTTCTCTTAGCTATCCACTCACGTGTTGTCCGTGTCCGATCTCGCACTGCCCGCAAGATCAGAGATCCTCCTCCAAGGTCAGAAAAAATCTCTTTGCTACTCCTCTCCCTTCTCTACCAAGCATCGTTCCCTCTGCCTGGTCCCTACTCTCCTGCTATTGTGTCGGTCAATGTCGTACTCCACTAGGTCTCACAGTGCCGCAGGTTTAGGGGTCCTCGTCCCGGCGACAAGGCCACCGCAGCTAAAAAGTAAAATTCTTTCGAAACAAGTTTGCAAAAAGTTCAAAAGATTAAACATTTTGAATGCAACCATAGTGCAAAATCATGATGAGAGTGGAGAGAAGAGCAATCTAAATTGGTCAGTAGGAACATCGAATTCACACTCAACTCTGTTGAGTTCATTCCCTCCAAATTCAAACAATGAAAAATAATTCTGACTGAAATCGTTATCTCCTTGCTTTGAACGGCTAAGTTGCCATTTCTTGGTCTACTGGGTACATCATACGGACATGGCATCCTCGTCTATGTCGTTACTCAGCTCATGTTGCCGAACAAGCGTTCTATTGGAGAAAGTTCTCCTGATCAACTCAAGGGAGGCATGGCGATTCTCCACGTGATGAGCGTTTCCTTCCTCCATGCTCGCGCTCGGGAGGCCATGGAAGCTCAGGTCCTGCGTGTAGATGCGGTTGAAGAACGTGTCGCTCGTGAGCAGATCTTCTACTTGAATCTTCTCTCTCTCGTCCTCCATCGCTGGCGTCCACAGTCGATCCCAGGCTGAGTGCATGAGGCCGGCGAGGCCCTGGCGCTTGTCGCGAGCTTCGATGACAGGGGAGCTGACGGAGCTGACAGCAAGAGAGGAAGGATCGACGGCATCGGACGATCTAATGGAAGGAGACTGGGTCCTGTTCCTGTTCCTCCTGGTGAAGCTGGTGTCCAGTTGCAGTTCGAGATCCTCCATGTTTGCCGCCCCCATCCCCTGCTCGGGCAAAGTAGGAGGAGAAGCCTTGGGTCGAGTGAATGAGAGCTTCGGGGATGGGTCGAGCCTGCTGAGGAGGCGATGGCTGAAGGAAGTCTTGTGCTGCTCGCCCCTCCTGGAGGAAGAGTGCCTGATGCCCTTGTCCGTCTGCTTCCTCGGTATGTGACCACCGTCGTCATGCCGTTGTGGATTCTCCGCACCCTCCTCCTCCTCTTGCTCTGGCTTCCCTCCTTCGGCCATGATGACCACATGGCGACCCTCCTTCTTTGATTTTGCACGAGCCGGGACCACAAGAGGAGGAGGAAGAACACCATCTACCTCTCCCTCTCCCTCCTGTATCGCCTGCATGTCAACCACCTTCCTGCTCTTGTGCGCTGACCACCGCCACTCTGACGGCAGCCCCTCCTCCTCCTTGGCGAGAGCGAGCTGCCTCTTGAGCCTCGTGTGCCTGAAGTTGAGGACGAGGTCGGTGTGTGCTGGGAGTCCCCTGTGCTTCCCCAGCAGCATGGCGCAGATGATGATGAGCTTGCCCAGAACGCTGAAGGCTCCGCACAGCGAGAAGTTCTTGCCGGGAACTCCGAGCGACAGCCCAACGTTGCCGTAGGCAGACACGAGCTCGAAGAGGATGGGGAAGGGCTGGAGGACGTAGTACTTGTACGCCCTCGGGTCATGGATGAAGGCGAGGAGGAGGAAGGCGAAGAGGAGGAAGGAGAGGTGGCGGAACAGGTACTGACTCTGAAACCTTGCCTTTGCCGCATGCACAGAGGAGACAGTGGGGACCGATCGGCCGTCGCTGTCCAGGGTTTGCTCGGAGACGTACATCCTGCTCACGAAGGGGGCGGCTGAGAGGTACATCATAAGGATGTAGATGATGTGCATGCCCTGGTTCAGATGGTTCAGGTCAAAGATCTGAAGACCAGCCGACCTCGTGGAGATGGTCTGGAAGAAGCCTGCTCCTGCCATGGCGGTGGCCCCGTAGCCTTCCAGTAGCTCCTCTCTCTGCAGCGAGGAGGAGAGGAAAGCTATGAACTGGAAGGTGTTGATGGCCACAAGGATGATGATCAGCACGCGCGTCTGCCCCTTGTCGAGCAGGTGAGTCGTCATCTGCAGTACCTCGTCACCCTCTGCCTCCTCCTCCTCCTTTCTCCTTCCTGCTCCTCTCCCTCCCACCCTTTCCTTCCTCTCACCCCGTCTCTCCTCCTCCCCTCCTCTCCTCTCTCCCTCCTTTCGTTGTCTTCACGCTCATCCCTCACCTGCCGGCTGTGGTCCAGCGCATACCGCAAGCCCCCTCGATCCAATTTCAGCTGCCCAGCCAGGAAGTGCACGAGGCGGACGAACCCGCGCAGGAGGATCGGAGCCAAATTATTCCCAGCGAGGATGAGGAAACAGAGGAGGAGGTAGCACTCAGGCCAGGTCTTCATCCAGTACACGGAGTCAGAGGTCAGCGTGAAGCCGCAGTTACAGAATGCGCTTGACACCAGGAACACTGCGTTCCACAGCTTTCCTAGGCCCCTCTCCTCCAGCTCCGGTGGGTTCGGGCGAACGGAGAGGGTCCCATACAAGATTCCGATCCCACAGCCCATGATGACCAGGATGTATGCCGCCACTGTGATCACCACCATCCGCAGCCCTCGCACCTGCGCCCTCCTCTCCCCCACCAGCCAGATCAGCTTCTGAGTTTGCGGGGAGTAGGGTAGTTCGAGCTTGGACAGGAATACCTCAAGCTCGGGCTGCAGCGCGTTGAAAGCAAGGATTCTGTAGATCATGGGGGGAAGGAGGAGAAAAATGATCCCTCCCAGGTTCATCATGACGTAGAGCACGATGAAGGTCTTGTTGCTGACCGCCGACATCTCGACTGTTGCGAGACCGGACCCTGTGTAGGCGGAGATGGACAAGAAGAGAGCATCGATGTAGGCGATATCGTCGACCACGTAGATGATAATGGAACCAATGAAGCTCGTAGCGAGGCAGTACGTCCACATGCTCCGATAAAAGTTCCATCGCAGAAAGATCGACTTTTGCAGATGGTGATGATCTGTGCCATCGAGGTCCAGCTCGTCCTCTGACAGCTCCCGCTCAAGCACTTGCTCCTGCTCCTGCTCCTGCTCCTGCTCCTGCTTCTGCTTCTGCTCGATTTCCTCGACCTTCATTTTTCGCAAAATTTTCCCTGCGGGAAAACTCTTCCGGTCTTGGCAAGCCTTAAATTCTACAATTTGAGCCGTCTGCCTTGCCCATTGCCACAAACTTGACGCCCTTGTCTCAAAACCCTCAACTTCTTGTTTTCACGACTCAAAACTCCCAATGTCTGCTCTCCCTCTCTCCCTCTCTCCCTCTCTCTCTCCCCCCCACACACTCCCTCCCTCTCTCCCTCTTCTTCTCCTCTTCCTCGCTTCTTCTTCCTCCCCTTTCCCCCCTTCTCTTCCTCCCGTCCACTCCCTCTACTCACCCCCTGACGCTCCCCCGGCGCAATCGGGGGAATCGCTGAGAGCGAGATCGTGTTCCCCCATCCCTTTTGTTACTGTTCAAAAATACTTTTAAAGGTTATAAAGAGAATGGGAGGTACCTGCAAAGTATAGTCAACATATAGACCTAATTTTAGATAGATCCATCCATCTAAAATGAATTTAAAATTCACTAAATAGAATCTAAAAAAACCCTCTCTGTACCTATAATGGCTTAGAATCTTCTCTTATATACATATATTTATAGAAACAGCTTAGAGTGTGCTAGGACCTTGATGCAAGTCTAATCAAAAATATAATTATAGTTATTTTAAAAATGTTTTTAACATTAAAACAATGATACTGAGGCGGAGGGCGGATCGCCCACCACCAACATGGCAGGTCAGAAGAGGGAGCGAGGGAGCGAGGAGGAGAGAGGAGGAGGAGGAGGGAAGGGGGAGTTGGAAGGAGCAGGAGAATGAATCACAGATGATGAGAAAAATTCAGCAAACGAGACTTGAAGAGATGGGATGGGGGAAGGCGGGGCGGGGGCGGGATAGATATGCTGATTGACCAGTAGCTGATACCCTGCCTTTCAGAGGAGTCTCCGAGGAAGAGGATCAAGATAGGCAAAGAGGGCCAGGAGGACGAGGGTGAACGCACCCCTCCCTGATCCCTTCGACTGACTCTGATCACGGAAGGAGAGCGGGATCCGATAAGGTCCGCTGTGGAGTGCAAGTGTATCCTTGGGGAGAGCCCAGTTTGGGATGAAGACTTGCACGTCCTCTACTTCGTGGTGAAGATAGCTTGCCTGGCACGTTCGAGACGCTGAGTATCCCCCAGGACATCAACGGCAAGAAGGTTCACAGTCACAGTCCCAAGGACGGCAGCTTCAAGACGTGGGAGCTTGAAGGGGAGGTGGGCTGTGTGGTCCCTGGTCCCGACAGGAGGAGAGTGTATGCGGCGGTCGTAGACTCGATCTTTGAGGTGTGCAGCACGCTCGGTCGCTGCGGTGGGGGGGCAGCGACACCTTGCTCCAGGTGGACGTGGAGAAGGAGGGGAAGGAGGCAGTGCGGAAGTTGGCGACGCTGCCGGAGGGGTAAGGGATGAAGGCATGCTATGCCATGGCCTGAGGTGATGGCAGGGAGTGTCCCAGTGGGTTTCGTTTCAACGACGGCAAGTGCGACCCGTGAGTGGGAGCGCGAGGTTTTGCCAGCCTGACCAGAGGCTGTGGCAGACAAGGCAGGTTGTGGATTGGAACTATGAACAAGCAGTGGAGAGATGAGAAAGCTCCTCGTGGAAAGCTGTAAGTGTTGATGTTGATAGGAGAGGGAGGGAGGGAGGGAGGGAGGGGGGTGGAGGGAGGGAGGGAGGGAGGAGTGAGAAGGTGGGAAGATTGGAGGGGTGGAGGGCGGCGAGAAGGGAACGAGGGGAAGGGGATATGCTGCATCGTTGACAAGTCTCTCAGCTATGTCTTGGACAAGGACGGGAAGTTCCGAACTGTGTAAGGAGGTCGGGGACGTTGCCCACACCTCTCATACAAGCACTGCAGTCTGACGGACGTACAACTTTCGAATGGAATGACATGGTTCAGGAGACCTGGGTATGCTCGGGAAGGGAGTTGCAAAGTTGGAAATGATGCGGGAGCAGGAGCGATGCAGGATATGACACCTTCTACTTTATCGACTCTGCTAGACAGGAAACCCGACTCCTCCTCCTCCTCCTCCTCCTCCTCCTCCTCCTCCTCCTCCTCCTCCTCCTCCTCCTCCTCCTCCTCCTCCTCCTCCGTGTGCCTGACGATGCTGCAGACGGTCTCGAGATTCGATTATGACGACAAGGATGGAAGCATCGAGGTCGGCTCAAGGAAAGAGGTGGTGAAGATCCCTACTGCAGGGGATGGAGGAGGCGTTCCTGACGGCATGACGATCGATGGTGGCCGATCTTTCCTTCCTTGCTACCTCCCAATCGCATTCTCAGAACATCCTGCTCATCCTCTACCTCCTGCCTTCTCCTCCACTTGCTTTCACCTTCTTGCCCTTACCTTCTTTCAGCACCTCCTTTTTACTTTCCCTTTCCCCCTTTGGCTCCTTCTCATGCGTCTGCAGCCGATGGTCTACTGTGGGTCACCCTCGGGGAAGGCGGTGCAGTGGCCCAGTACGATGCGGAGACTGGGGAGGAGGTGCAGGTAAAGGAGGAGGAGAAGGGCAACAGAGCTCGTGGCCATCTGACGTGCATGTAGAGGTTCAAGCTACCGGTGAAGAGACCCACAGCCTGCACGTTTGGAGGAGAGGACTTGCAAGAGGTCTCCTTCATCCTGCGATTGTGCTCCCCCCTTCCCCTACTTCCCTCATGTTGTGCTCCTCATCAGTTTCTGCGTTTGTTCCCGTTCTTGTCCAGTTACTGTTCGTCTGATCTTCTACTCTTGTCGCCTCCCCTCCTCCCCCACGGCTCCTACTCGACTTAACTCTGATCGTATCAACAGTTGTACATCACAACGCGAGAAGAGACAGGTCAAGAACCGTCAGCTGCAGCTGGGCACTTGCTTGTGGTACTACCCAAGTCTTCCTCTCCCTGTCTTTCTGTGTCTTAGACTTCGATGCAGGCAAAACTTGACAAGAGCAAGGGGCATGCAGCAGCATGGCGGTGTAAAGCAATATGATCGACGGAATTCAACTACCGATATCAACAAACCATACACGACAAGAAACTTGAAACAAGAGTGTCTGTTTCGTTGCACCAAGGCAAGGGCAAGTTAGGCCAGATGATCTTCCAGAGCATCGTCGGTGAGGCGTTTCTGTAGCAGATGATTACCATGGAAGGAGAAAAGGGGATTGGGATAGGAAGCAGATTGTCTACCCCGCACAGAGTACCAGGCAGTGGAGAAGATGAGGAGGGACAAGTAACACACCTTGAGCTCCTTGTGCCTCTTCTCGATGTTGTTGTGGATGTCATCCTGAAGGGGGGGGGGGGGGAGAGAGTAAGACCAGCAGGCAAGAGCACCAGAGAAGAGCAGCAGGAGCAGGAGCAGGAGCGGAGCAGGACCGAGATGAAGAAAACGAGATGAATAAACGTGAGCAACCTGAATCTCCTTCAGACGTCTCATCTCATCGCTGGATAGCTGCAAAGACAGAAAAACGTTCAGAACAGAAATCCTCACGTCGTCCATCGTCAAATCACCTGCTCAACAACTTTTGTCTTCTTCAACCACAACAGAGCAGTGCACACAACCCCAACGATCAGGAGAACCTGTGTATGACAACCTCTGTGAGTTTCTTGTCAGTCTTCATCCCATCTCTTCTCCTCACCGCTGCTGGTACGCCTCCGGCGAAGCGCAAGATCGTGCAATATACGTTCTTGTTGACTGGCCGATCCTTCACTTCCTGTTGTGTTCCATTACAAGAGACTTGTGAAACACGTGGAGGGAACAATCAGATGAACACAAGAAAATAAAAAAAAAGACGTTGAGCATACACAAATGAACAATATCAACAGATTCCTTTCATGGAGTCCTCTATACCTTGATGGTAGAACCAGGCAATTTGTGAACAGTGACATGTTCTCCCTAGACAACGCCAGGAGTTTCATTTTGTACATCTTGTCAACACACTCGAGACAGAGACAGACAGAAACAAAAACGAGGAATAGCACTAGGGGAGTGAGTAGCGTGGCCCGCAGAAGAATATCAAACCTGCTGCTCGCAGATTCCGATCACATCGGTGTCCGCGTAGTTCAAAAGCGCCCAAATGACGAAAATTGAAAGGAACACAATGAAAGCAGACGACAAAACCCCTTTCCATACGGTTGCAAACTATGAAAACAAGGAAACAAATCAAAATCGTTGAAACAGAAACCTCATGTCACGATCTACCGCGTTGTGACTGGCACACTTCTTGTTGCGCTCGATCTTCTCATCGACTATCTTGCTCAGCGCCTCGCAGTCCTTGCTAAGCTCGTCAAGCACCTTGGAACAGAGACGTCAATCACAGCGCAGTCATGTCGTGCGGCTCTCCGTACATCTTGAACTCTGCTGTCTATCTCCATGCGAATATTCTGACACAACTCTCCGATCTTGTTCGGCACCTATGAGGAAGAATGTCAGCATCCAAGTTTGCTATTCAAGTTCTTCAAACCTTCTGGTTCGTCTGCTCGTCAGCACGATCTGCAAATTTCCAGCAGAAAGCTGTCAGGTGACAAGGCTTCTATCATACTCTACGAGCAAACCTGGCAAAAACATAGTATGCAGCTTCAGCGCGTGGGTTGCGCGAACGCGTCCTTGAAGCTCTTGAACAATCTGTGAGACGACGTTGGTACGATCGATCTCATCCCCTGCATCATCCCATCAGTCCGGACGCACTCGCCTCTGCACAATGTCCGCAAGTTTACCGGCAGTGTCGAACTTGGTTAGGTAATACGACATCTTTGCCGAATGGTTGACCGCCAGCTTCTCAACCACATTCATGCATCGACTGACAAGAGCCTTGCCGATCGGATCGAGGAAGACCATGATCATAGTCGCATGCTCGGCCAACTCGTAGATGACCGACTCAACATCGAAAGGATACTTGAGAGTCCCTGTGCTGACACCATTACCACAGGAACAGTAGGAGTTTTGCAACAACACCGTCTGTGAGCCCAGGAGTGTCAATGAACTCCACGAGAGGAAAGTTCTTCTCCTCCGAAGTCGAGAACTCCGTGGCTGGGAATGTGATGGTCAGCAGCAACTTCTAGTTATTCGGAGATCCAAGGTGTTATGAAAACTCACTGAGGAAATCTGTCACGCCCTCGATCTTCTTCAGGCCTTGGATCTGAAGCAACATCCTTCAGGGATCAGGGAGAAACAACAAGTGAGATCTACATGAGGAAATGCGCTCATGGTCTGGGGCCCCCTCCATGTCGTGCGCTGCTTTCCACGCCTGATCATCGTGATGCCGGCGGTTTCAATCGCAACACTCTCCTTCTGGATCTTCTCCCCGATGTACCTGAAGCACCAGCCAACCTTGTCAGCTCAGCACGAAGATCAGCAGAGATTCTTTCTTCATCCCACCAGTTGGTGAAGGAGGACTTTCCCGCGGAGTGGTTACCGATGAGCAGGCAGGTGATCCTGTCTCTGGGAGGCCGCATGTTGACGGCGCGTTCAAGGAGGTCCTTGGGAAGATGCTGGAACAACAGAACGACTTAATTTAACAAGTCGGACATCTCCAAGGACACAAGGATAGACCACAAGACACACTGTGCACGCACGCTTGCTTCTGTCATCTACGGAACATTCTAGAAGCAAATGATGCCCCAGTTGACATTCAAGATTACAGGTAGAACCACATGAGTGGTTTACAAGATTTCTCGTCAAGTGGAATCACAAACTTGATCCATCCTCGAAGATACTCATGGGCTCATTACATCTCAACCATCACCGGCGGCCGCTAACCCTCAACGCACCCGTCTTTCTCAAGACAACAACCCCACATTCTTCTGGTTCTAACCCAAAACAATCTAGCCCTAGTTCGTCAGCTGCTCGTACACATCATTATATCCGAGATCCATCATGCCAACCATGACGTCTCACATTCGCTCTCGCCGACTTTTCTGCCCTTTCACCACGTGCAACCCCCATTCTCCTCTCACCTTTGTGAAAGCATCCTGACGCGAGAGGAATGCTGCATAGGACTTGAGATCTTTGGCCATGCCCTCATCTCGCGCATCGTAGATTCTGGCAGCTTCGAGAAGGATCTGTTCCGTCACTGGTCGCGCTCTCACGCCATCGCCCTTGCGAGCTACCATGGTGTGAAAGGAGGGGAAGGAGTGGTGGAACCCCTTAGCAAATTTGTGGATGATCTGGGGTGGGGTGATGGAAGCACGGGTTATATCATAACATTTTTGCTCTAAATTGATAGGTAGGGTCATTCTTTGAAGGGGTGGTAATTGGATGGGAGAGTGGAACCACGAGGTTCGGTAGGCATGTGAAAACTTGGAATGGCAGTGCCAAAACAGGGGGTACTAAGAGGAAAAAGTAGGGGTACTGAATGGAGGAACTAGGGTATAGGCTCTCTGGGGGTGGTACTGGACACATCAGCAAGGAGATTTTTTTCCATTTAAATTTTACTTAACAAAGAAACAAATTAAGTGAAAAGTAGTTAAATCAGATTGGAAGACAGCTAGAATGTCTTTAAATCAATCAAGATGACTGATATTTAGTCAAGAAGTTACCTAAAGCAAGTGGCTCGGCTTATCTGGTCAATTCGATTTAAGTGGCAACTGGGCTAATCCGAAGAGGGGGGCTGCTTCCTCGCGTGGGCGATGAGCGCTGAGTGCTTCTTTCGCTTCGAGGAAGCATGTAGCAGATCGTCATGCCGTGCGTTACTCCGACTCGATACAAACAGCCATGTCCACGGCTCGCCGTCTGGTCGCCGTCTGCCTCCAGCGCGTCTGCTCGGTCGGGCGTGTAGAGGGAGACCCTGAAGGTCAGACCGATGAGGAAGCACAGGGGCAGCAAGAGCAGGTGAGGATGCAAGCGGAGGAGACTCACCAAATCATGGGGAAATGGAGGAACTTCGCCGCAGCTAAGATCCGAACCACGGGATCACCAAGACAACAGCATCCTAACCAGATTGTAGTCACTGGAGCGGAGCAGGATATAGCGACACTCCTTCTGACCGTCATGGAGGACCAGGATGGTGTAGTAGCGAATCAGTGGCCCTAGTGCGAACCAGCACGACGCTAAACGTGGCACTGCAGTCCTCCATGATGAATGCTATTTTTATTTTTGTTTACGCGAGGGCGGCTCAAGACGTAATACAGGTTCGGATACAGCGACGACACGACGCAGCGCAGGTCGAAATAACCTGCACCTCGTGGGATACGCACGATACTACAGCGGGCTGCTGTTCTCGATTCACGAGGGCTATCGTCGCATAACTGGAGGGCCTGCAGCGATGCACTGAACGCACCAACGAGCACAAGAGAGGAACAAGCAGGCCAACACGGAGTTCTTTCATGCGATCAATGCTATCCCCGAAGAGCAGAGACCCTGCCAGCGTTGTGGCACAGGGAGGCCTGGGGTATGCCCGCGGTTAGTAGCTTCAGCACTGGAAACGGCAGCGACTACATTGACCACTGCGGCCCTGTCCTTTCGAACATCTCATCAGGGGCAGACAACTGCCGAACCAGTTCTTGGTGCCCTGCATACGACAGCCTTGGAGGAACACCAAGTGCTCCACCCGACGCAACCCCGGGGCTTCCGAGGAGGAAGAGGCTGCAAAAGACAGGCGTGGAAACTGCTACAGACAATCCGGGGCCCGGAAACAATGTCTGATTGTCGCGTATCTCGATCTTAGCAACTTCTTTGGTACCATACGACGCGAGGTTGTGCTGCATCTTCTGGGCACCTTTGGGCTCTCAGATCAGGACTCAATCATCCTAGGCAAATGTCTGGAGGAGATGGCCTTTCGGATCCTAGATGACCAGGGACCACTTGCAGAAATACAGCTCCACAAGGGAATCTTGCAAGGCTCCGCTCTCTCGCCTATCTTGGCTCTGTGCATTACATCGGCGCTGGCAAGACTCCTGGACACGGTCCCAGGGACGGTCAGCTTTGGTGGGCAGGACTACCATCAGAGCTGGTACGCAGACGACGTAGCGCTCTTGACAGACAGCGTCCGAGAGCTGCGCTCACCGATCGACTTAGTGGAACAATTACAACCCAGTGCAGCTGTGTTGGTAGGTAGTGCTTGCCCTTAAGTTTGTTACCAAGCTCTCTGGTCTTTGTGAGGATGTACTCCTTCTCGAAGGTTGTATGCACGTCCTCCCAGGAGATCAGAGAGCGGCATGCCTCTTATATCTGCAGGTTTGTGCGTGAATCGCGACCCGGAATCCAAGGTACCGGAAAGATTGATGGGCAGGCAGATACTTGATTGATTTTAACTGTGCACACCTCCTGGATCTCCGAGTGGAGGCGGTAGTCATACCCCGATATTTCGCTTTTCCCTGCGTTGATTTCCAGCTCCGCCCACTGGCAGACTTGTCTCTATAGTCACGATCTTTCGGTACTCCGCCGCCATCATGCATAGGAACGACGAGGAACTAGACCAGCTTTACAACGTGTGAACCCAAGCCATGCGAGCCGCTTGGAAGCGCCCCGGGCCCTCTCCACGGCAAGTATCATATTCCAGGCCCCCAAATACACAGGGGGGATGCAGCTCGAACACCCTAAAGTCATTCTCGGACGAGACGCATGGAACTTCGTCGCAAGCCTCATGGAGACAGGGGACAGTGCGGAGCGAGACTACGTAATCCAACGCATTAAGCAGATCAGTGAAGTCACAGGCTGTGGATCCCTCGACTCGCTCGGACGCTGGCTACAACTAACGGGGAATCTCTCCATCCACCCCTCCATCCTCGGAACGTGTCAAGAGTTTGTACAAGGATAGACTCAAAGGAATCCTTCATGTGACCATTACCAACAAGACGTTGTCGAGCTTCCTTCAGATCACGATTGTTGTAGTGTTCTACCACATTTGCTCAGTGATTGCAGTATCAGCGGTAGACGGTTTGAGACGTATTCCTAGCAGTCCTGCAGTCCTTGCTATGCCCATCGCTGTCTACTCCCCCTTCGCGCCTGAAGTGAGCTAGCAGCTGTATATAGTCTCCGGCCACAGCCCCACCTGTGAGGGAACCACTTGTGCTGGAGCTGGATCCGTCTCTGCTGGGCTTGCTTCACGAAGGTAACCTACGGGTCTTCCAGGTGGAGCAGCAACGACTATCAGGGAGCAAAACAACATGGGTGCAACGCAAAGTCTCTTTCCACTTGTCGAGCACGACGCGGTTGGGATGTTTTACATGGTTTCGAGCGGCATCATTGCAGCAGTAAGATGGTAAAGGGGGTTGAGATTGTTGCAGAGTCTATAGGCAAATCACAGTCGTCTAACTGAAGCTCACTCTACATCTGAAAGGCTAGTACCGTAATCTCCTCCTGAACCTTGCTGTGTCACTGGTCGGGACGAGGAGGTTGCTGGCAGTCTGACAAGGTGAGGAGCATGGATGGTGGAGAAGCTTTGAGCCAGCGAACTAGGCGACTCACTCGCATCTTATCACTTGTTTACAACCCTGATCCTCCTCCCACTTGACACTCTCATACTCTTCTATCTTAACAGTCCCTTCGAAGTCGCGTACTCGACAAACGGAGCAAACAGCTGCTGCACCTTCTCCGTCAGCTTCTGCGCTTGTTGTAATCCCTGCACCCCCAGCATCGGTCAGCCTCTCAGTCTCCTCCCCGCCCCTCCCTCCTTCCCCCCCAACCCATCCCGGCATTCTTTCCCCCTCAACTTGGCTTTCACGTCACCCTCCTCTTCCCACCTGCGCGCTCCCGTTGAGAGACGCGAAGCTCTGCGTGAAGAGCGAGTCGTAGTTCGCAGACTCGAGCAGCTCTTCCCCCCCTCTCACGTCCCCGAGACAATCCATGAGAGGGCGGCAAGTCTCAGGCTCGTTCCTGGCAACAGCATGAGATACGTCTAGACGGGCAGGAGGAAGATGCGGATGGAGAGGACGAGGAGGACAAGCACATAGGTCAAGATGTGCACTGGGAGCAAGTAGATGGGAAGGGGAAAGGCGACAAGCACACTATGTGAGCTCTTCAGAGGAAAGCGAGGACCTGCATGCTGAGTCGTACTCCTCGGGGCTAAGACGCTGCAGCACGTTCATGACGCGGATTACCCTGATATAATGTTACCCTTCGCTCTTCTTTTCCTCCTCTTCTCTCCCTCTGTGAAGTCTCACCGTCCGTGAGCATCTCGCTCCTTCATTGAGATCAGACGGGCGAGCAAGGGATCTGTGAGTTTTCCGCTCTGCCATCCCACGTCATGCTGCTTCTCCTTCGCGCTCCCGTTACCCGTGGGCATCGTCGGATCATGCGGACGTTGCGGACTATTCTTGAGTCTAGGACCTTGGCAATCTCATCTGATGACGTCATCGTCACGTCGGAGAGAGGAGTGGGAAAACATGGAGAATAAAAATGGAACTGCGGAAGAAAAAACACGGAGAGAAAAGGTCAGGCTGTACAAGGAGGAAAAACAATGCATAAGAGGAGAAAGGCGACATGTCATGTTGCCGAAGAACTCGAGCTCCGAGTTAGGAAGGGCGTTGTCGCAGTTTCCCAGGCGTGCGAGCATTTCTTCCGGGTGCATGTTTAGGAAGAAGGCGATTCCCGAGCTTATCTGCAGAGCAAAGCAGCATGGGAGCGAGGACAGGATAAGAGAAGAGGAAGAAGACGCGGAAGAAAGAAGTATGAACAAACACTTGCCAGTTGTTGAACCAACATCAGTTACCTCGACCTTTGTTCGAACCATCGTGTTTGGATCCATCTCCATGATCCAGTAACTAGTCGAAGATTCAGTATGATCATCATATGATGAAGATGATCTGACTACATTCAACATTCAACTCTCCTCGTCATCACAATCATCATCATTATCGTCAGCACTATCACTACCATCACGATTCATCATCGCCATCGCCATCGCCATCGCCATCATTCACCATATCCATCATCGCTCCCATTGTGAGATACTCACCCCAAACCTGCTTCTGTCGATACTGCATCTCTCAAGCTGTCGATGTTGAACAAATGTTTACCTGGAAGGTGCAAAATTCAGCATAAAAAAATCCTTCCATCATCGCTGACTGTCTGAAGCCTGTTGCTGATGTCTCATGATAGCAAACTCTCCCATGAAAGAGCTGGAAGATGCGATGTCAAAGTTCCTTGACGCATAAGAACAAATGTAATAACCTTGTGGCGATCAGCTCAATTGCATTCGATCCATGAAAGAAAGCCGATCGCACGTTTGATGGCATATCATGAAACATCTTTACCATCCTGTCAATGTTTCAGATGTATCGGTAGGAGACACAAAATGAAGGGATACAGTGTTGAGTTGTATCCTACTTGCAAGAAGGCCTTGATCAACAGCCTCGGGATTCTCAACCTTTCAAGGTGAGCATCCCGTACCTGCAGAGACGTTACGTGCGCATCACGCTATCAGAGAATCTGCACGTCTTCCTCTGATTGCCTCACCTCCCCAGAAACAGGATCCCGAAGGTACAAGTGCATGGCAGTCTGCAGAGGCCTGATCACATTGACCTGAAGTGTGCTGTCCGTCGACGAGCTTTGCAGGCTTTCGTCCATTCTGTACATGCAGATCAGATCCCCCGTGCAACACCCGTCGACGCTCGTTACGGGGAGTACTCGTCTGCAATCGAGCTTTCGACGAAATCACTTGTAGGAGGATCCGCGAGCTGCACAATCAAGCTCATGTCAACATGCAAAGACACTTGCAGCCTCCGAGATTCACATCTTGGTCGTCGGAGAGATCCAGAGTGTGTCCTGATGTTGGGTATCAGCTCATACATCAACCAGCTCATACATCAACCACGCTCTATCTCTATCTCATCTGATCCCATGCATTCAGTCTGCCGTCCGCTCGATACACACCGCGAGCCTGCACACAAGTGAGTGTACGTACAAGAGTGCCTCTGCTCGGACATGGCCGCATCTTGTCGCATCTGATCTTCCTCTTCTTGCAAAATGCACACGCCTCCTATCAGCTACTGTCAGCCTCCTCGAGGTGCACATCAACACCGCACTTTCAGCTCTGCCCGGGAGCATACGTGCGCTTGTCCTGCACAGATATGAAGGTTAGGTTGCAAACTATTCAGTGCGAGCAACAGACCTCTGCTCGTACAGTTGAGGCAGGGGATCTCTCCGTCGCATTTTTTCTTCTGTTTCACAAGGCCACTTCACATCATGCGGACTGGATGCCCCCTCTTTGAGCTTCGTTGATGCCACACACATCAAACCCATTCCTTTGCTTCCCACCTTGCTCTGTCTTGCAGGCTATTTCATTGCTCTAAGTGCTGTGTGACTTCTTTCACAACGCTCCTCATCTTATAGCGGTATGCGTTGGTCTGTGTCTTGTAGTCTAGAGCATCAGATCTCATTTTGTTCCAGACCTCCCTACTTCACTGGACTTCCTCATTTCTGTTTTCTCTGTTTTGCTCTGTTTTGCTACTTTTTGTTCTTCTACATCGTGTTAACCTCTTCTTCCTTCGCTCACCTTCTTGTCTTCTTCCTTCCCTCACCTCCTTCCTCCCTTTCCCCTTCTCTCACCGCTCTTACTCACCAACTTCCGGCATTGTAAACAAGCCAGCCCTCTCATGCCCATGGCAGAAGGTCACAGGGTGGGGGGTAGGGGTGTTCAATTGACCACTTGTTTTTTTTGGCCTTTTAAAAGTCTGTTTTTTAGATATTTAGATATGAATTTTAAAACTTTACTTCGAGTAAAGAGAAACTTTTAGTTGATCCCCTACGAATCGATTGCCATGCTGCTCCAGCGGTGCAAAGCAGAGGAAAACGGTTAAAGTTGGCATTCTGTCACACGTTTGGAGAAAGTTCTTACCTGTACAATGGTCTTTATGTGGAATTTTTGTGTTTGAAGCGTTTTTTTGTACGACATTTCCTGCAAATTGCGTTGGTTCATGTACATCTAGTGTACGTTGTTCTGAGCTTGTAGCGCTTGTAGGCAGTCGATCTGCTTGCCTTGATGTAGATTAGTAATGATGATGAACATCGAGGCTAAAAGACTGATAATATTCTCGTCTAAGATACTAGATCTTTGCTCATAGAAACATTGTAATAGGATGCAAGTGTAAATGTTAATCTCTCAAGTTACTAGTCCGACACTGCTCCGAGTCAGTCCTTCAAGGCTGAACTGAGTTCCGCGACTCCGACCGACTCTGTCACAGTAGCTTCCGTACTCAGCTTTGTTGTTCTTCCGAGTTTGGCGACTCACTGCGGCTTGACAGTGATCATCGGATAAAATCCTGAATCGACCACTGACGACTCCACCGCCGTGAATCGCAGCAGTGGAGCGAGCTTGCGAGGAGCTGCAGCAGGCAGAAGCAGCTGGACTCGATGATCATGAGGCAGGGGCTCGGCTTGACCATCCGGACGGAACCCATGTCGCCACGTGGTGGACAAGGACGAGGTGGGACTGCTGCAGAAGTTCGGCGACCTCGGCCGGGCCTGGGGCGCCGCCTGCCGCAGCATCAAGGCCAACGAGGCGGGGGTGAAGGTGATTAACCCCATGCAGCTCAAGCAGACCGTCACCGTGGGATCGACGAGCACGTTGCACAACATCCAGCTCTACAGCGGGGACTGGAGCATCGAGCAGTCCGAGCTGGGCAGCCTCCGCCTGAGCCGCACCTCAGTCTGCTTCAACGGCTCCGTGATGACGGAGGAGGTGACGGTGACGATGAAGCAGAAGGAGGACGCACCCCTCCGCGTCCTGACCTCCGTCGTCACCGCCATCGGGGACGACAACGAGCACATCCTCCAGCACCACCACATCAACCAGCAGCTGCAGCGGCACGTGGCGGTCGGCTCGCCCGACTACGTCTCGCGCATCCTCGGCTTCGACAAGCCCATCATGACCTACAACAGCATCACCGCCAGGGGGGACCTGCGAAGCGTCCCGGCCATGGACATCGCGACCCACTCCCTCGCCGAGTTCAGGAGCAACTGCAAGGTGCACAGCATGCCGTTCAAGGACGAGGCGCTGGAGCTGATGCAGAGGGAGATGGAGAGGATCACGGCTTCACCCTTGAGGACCGCCCCCTGCTCAAGGTGAGGACCATCTCCACCAAGAGGAGGGACTTCGCCGTCGTCACCACTCTGGGCTGCCTGGGCGTGGCGGAGGGGGTGCTGATGTGAGCCGGCGTCTAATAGAAGGTCAGACCAGCTTCTTGATGTCCTCGTGCGGGTCCTGCACCTCCGTGATGAGCGGGTACCGGTGCGACTGCATGTGGTAGTCCATCCCGTAGGGGGTGTGGTAGAACGACATGACGCGCCGGTCCGCCATGCGGTTGAGCTGGGCGCTGTAGATCGGGTAGAGGAGCGTCGGGAAGAGCAGCACGACCGCGAGGATGGCGATGAGGAAGCGGGTGCCCAGCCCAGCACCCACTGCACGGCCTCGTTGATGTACTCCACGCAGCTCTTGTAGCCGCAGAGGTCCCTTAGCCACTCGTCGTCGGACATCCTGGCCACCTCCGACTGGTACTCACTGTAGAATATCGGGATCCTGGAGAGCGTGAACATGACCAGCCACAGCCCCACCATGATGAAGGGGAGCAAGAAGAAGCTTGCAAAACCATGTTGAAATCGATGCAGGATGCAGGGTAAGCAGATAGAACGAGGCTTGATGGGTCTCTTACTCGCAGCGTGTGCTTTGTTTATTGGATCACCGTGCAAGTGACAGAACCAATGTTAAAAAACGGATGGTCCTCGCTTGCCGCAATTGGTCGTTAAGTAGCTAACGATCATACAAATCAAAGTTCAGCTAGAATGCCCTGGCACTGCCAGCCTGGCCGAAAGTTGACTCATTTGACGCGCCGCCGCCAGCCTGTGCGCAGCACCGCGCCATTGAGTCGTCGGAGGTGCCAGCCCGGCCTCCTGCTGACGGTCCCAGCGGCCACTCACAGGCTGCCATCAAGTCCCTCACATCCGACGAGTTTTCGGAAGAACTAACGAGTCACCGAACGGTAATGAAATCAGTTCGAGACCTTCTCGGAGCTGAGCATTGAATACCCAACTTTTAGCCGCCGAAAAGGATTCAAAACGTCGTCGAGTACATTTTCAAGATTCACTCCTGGGTCCTCCGCCCCACTATCACGTCCAACGTTGACTTTCTCCGACATGCAATCTTTCATTCCAACTCTCACGCGCTCCTGATTCAAGTGAAAGCTGTGCGCAAGCATGTTGTAGTTCTTCACTTTCCACCAGACAAAATCTGCTTGGAAGATGAGGGGAAGGAGGTGGAATAAGCTCTGGTCCTTCTTCCATGAGAAGACATCCAACCACTCCGCTTCCTCCTCAACAAAGAAAATCTCGAATTTCACCTCCCACAGCCATAGGTTCTTCATCAGGTCATTCAGATCTACATCGTAGGAAGAAATGATGTGAACTCTCGAGTCAGCCATGCTCGAACTGACTTGTATCTTCTTATCCTTCGTATCATGATTCAGAAGCGTTATGCACTTCTCCCAAGGAAGGACTTGGGATTGAGTCACCCGGCCACGAGGAAATGACTCGTGGTAAACGAAGTTGTGGCTCGGTTGTATCGATCCAGCCGCTGATCCTGATTCTACTTCTTGCGTTCTTCTTTGCTCGAGTGGCACTGAAGTCTCTTCATGCTCACATTGCATATTCTCTGCTTTCAGGACATCTTCATACAACTCGCTCTCATTGTCCTCGAGGAACGAAAAGTCAGCCGTCACGGCATAGCAGCGTGCAGAAAGTAAATCATCGCGGAAGACAGAGTTGTCACAGTTTCGTCAGCAAAATCATTCAAGGTCGCAACGTTTCTGCATCAGGTTGCATGTCCTGCTCTTTCCGAACCACGTTCGAACAGTAGCACCTCCTCTTGCGTTTCTTGTTGATCCTGCAGACTCAATCTGGCTGCTCCCCTTTCACTTGCGCTCTCACACCCTGCAAAGCTCTGATACCTCCCTCCTCTTCCTACCGCCTTTCTTTCATCCTCACTAATCTCGTGATCCAACCTCCTCATCTCAATATTCCTTGAAATTCTTAGCAACTCTAGCATTCTTCTCTTGAATCTCTTATTATCTGACCCTGTCCGTTCCCCTGCCACGTGCTCTTCTTGCTCCAACCTCGTCCTCTTGCTCCTGTCTCCTCTTCCTATCCGGGCCCTGCTGCCCCAACTTATCGTCCCTTTCATGTTTTCATCCTTCATCTCATTACAAAAGACAAGAGGCACGCAACAACCGCGCTTGAGACACACTCCTCACCATCGTCGCTGACGGTAACTTTGCTTTCGGTGGGAGAAAACCGTAGGCCCTTCAGTCTCTTTTTTTTGATTGCACCGCATCCTACTACTCGCTCGCTCGCTCGCTCGCTCGCTTTCTCCTCCCTGATCTCACTTCCTCCCTCCCTTCATTTTCGATATGCTCCTTGCTGTTCTGACTTAAATTTTCTTGCTTGACAAGCAAGAAACCCATCGCTATAACAGGAGAAAACTACCCATTGAAGAAAATTGCTTTTAATGCTGCGACGTGAAGAAGGAAATCTGTTTATCAATGGGTAAGAAAGATTGGGATTGTATAAACATCTTAGGTTGGACTCTTGAATAAGGCACGCACGACTCGCACAAACAGTTGTCGTTAGCCTCCCGGTATCACGAGCGTAAATCTAGACTTCAGCTTGGATGTCACAATGTCCGGGCACAGGCTGGCTGTGCAGTCATTCTTAATCTTACTGTCGAGATAGTTTGAGCAAATGTGAAGCGAAAGCAATGGTGGATCATAGTCTGACTACTTGACCAATGCGATGCTGTCGATTACAACGACCGAACATGGTAAATTGCAAATGATCCAGCCAATTCACCAAAGTATCCCTTGCAGTCGACATAGCTCCAGGTTCAAACAAGAATTCATGCCTCGGATCACAACCAAGAAGTTGAAGATCCACGTCTCCATCATCACGTCGAGCGCTAGCGTTGACTCCTGTGCGGCATAGCAAACGAGAATCGGAGTTTTTGTTATTGGCTGAAAAAGAAAGGCAAACCGACCAATGGTAGTTGGTTGACTCAAAGTTTAAATTAAAAATCAGTACCGGGACAATAGAGTAGTAGTCTAGGAATCTTAAAATCATTATTTGATACTTTTTTTTTACTTTCTTTCTAGATTTTACGGGGTTTTTTTTGGAACTCGTTCATGCCTACCCCAAGTGGGGGTACCAATGAAAAATATGGGGTCCATGGCAATATTTTCCCGAGAGTACGGGTATTTATATACATTATTTTCACTTTGTAAGAGGGGGTATCTTGATGTATTGGAGGGTGGGGGTATTGGATATTTCACTTGTCGAGGGGTGGCTGGAACAAACAAGTCCGTTGGGGCTGATGTCGGACTAAAAGATACTACCCCACCCACCCATGTCAGGAGAATGTACCCGTCCTAGATCCCTGCTGATATTGTTTGCCAAGTCCCTCCCACCCCTGCCGAAATGATCCACCCCTTCGACTGCAGAGCACTTTGCCGTCACCTGCAACCTCCCGGATGGTACTTCTTTACTAGGGGGTAGGGGTGGAATGGTTGAAGAGGGTGGGGTTTTCTTGGAAGGGTATAGTTTGAAGGGTCCTTGCACAGTCGGGGTGGGGGTATGGACGTATCTGAGAGAGAAGGCCCATTTGTTACTGGGGTAGGGGTTGTCATGTTTAGGTGGGGTACAGAAAGAAGTCGTGACTGTGAGCTCCTCTAGATAGGGGTTAAACGTATCATTAAGGAGGGGTACTACAAACGTAGTCTCACAATGAAACGGAATAGGTGGGCAGTGATTGAATACACAGGGGGTACATGGTCCAGGGGGTGGAGGTGTGCAACTGGAGTAAAGGAATTCGGACTGGTGGCAGTCAAAGACCAGTTCTTGTCAACATAGGGGTCATAATTGATAGGGGTAGGGGTCATTGGAACTAGGAAGACAGGGGAAGGTCTGCATCCGGGGTCCTCTAAGAAGACCCTCGTTCATTATACACCTGATGCAATCGGGTAGGGTAGTACATGAGACAGTGATGGTAGGGGTACGTAGGACTACCCCAATAATTACCCCGGTGGCCTCTGACCGGTGTCAAACACTGTGATTCATGGTGGTAGTGGTGGTACCAATGTTGGCAGCGCTCCACCGTGGGGTGGTCAACAATTGCTTTTTAGCTCAAGGCTTTTCCGAATTCCGACACCCCCCCTCATCTTTTGTGACCCTCGCTGTTTCATTATCACCCCACCAATTGATATTAAAACTACCCGTATTTATAGATGTTATGTCACGACCACCCTACCATCGATGTACCCCTACCCACCGTCAAAGGCGCCTCACCTGTTCTACCTCTTCACGGAACACCCACCCACCCCCCTTCAAACAAGAAAGATATCGGGGTAGAAGTGACTGTCCGAAGTCCGGAGTCTCAGTACAATAGGGGGTGGGGTGGTCCCCGGGGATCGATGACGGAAAGTCCTGAGGTACAGATGGGTGGGTCAACAAGGAGTGTAATGGTGGGTGATTTAGAGGTGAAATATACGGGTGGGGTACTAAAACGAACGGGTGGGGGTGGACGGTGCGCTTTGTGGACGCGAAGGATCGCATGGCAGTGTGGGACCAGGGAGCAAGGCAGGCAGGCATGCAGGAGGGAGGGAGGGAGGATGCATTCAATGTAACCTGCCGATGAAAACTTTCTTCTTCTGAAGGCGTTGAGAGAAGAGGAGACATCTTCTTTTGGTGGTTTTGGTGGTTTTGCATATGTGTGAGCAGGAAGGTACTGGTAGAGCTAGGTCAGACAGTAGATGCCGAGTGGAGATTCAACAATGATCAAGCAGGATTTCAACCTGATGTATCTGACATCTTTCATTGCAGACGTGTTTTTAGCCTTATGTCAGCCGGAAATCCATAACTGTGGGGTAGTCCATTGGGGAACGGAACACGCTCTCGTGAGACCATGCTTGAATCATTGAGGAGTCCCAGACCTGGCTTGGGAGACGCCACGGAAGACGATGATGAACAGCAGAGCTATGATATCCCTCTTAGCGTGGACCCGCGGGAGGGACCTTGTGACTCGGAGGACGATGTTTCGGTGGCAGATTCTGATATCACGTCGGTGAGTAGGAGCCATCTTCGGAGTCAGGTGGCGACAAAGCACAGTCCATTCACGTCGATGGTGAGTGAAACTGCATCATAGCCAGACCGAGCCCTGACGCGCCGCTCTCTTTGTAGTTCCTGGGAAGGCAAGCTTCTCGGAACGAGGACTTGTTGAAGCAAAAGGCTAAAGTGCTGCTGTTCTACCAAATGCTCTCACGCAAGGCTGAAAGCGAGATTCAGCCGAGCAAAGACTTGAGCTTTGTCGATGAATGGCTCCAAAAGTCAAATCGAGAGCAGGAAGCAGGGAGAAATCAATGCGAAGACACAGTGGCAGGCAAGTATGACGGCGAAGCAAGTGCTAGCCTCAAGTATGAATCTAGCCATGCGTGCAGATGCTATCTCACCTTGAAACAGGAGCTCGGCCGTGACAGAGGGGTGTGAAGAAACTTGTTCACTCAGCAAGTACTGCAACAGGGACGCCTCTGTTGAACCTTCCGAGGTAGGAACTCCGAGGACCATGACAGCTCTTCCCTCACATGTGGCATATCAGGTTTCTTGTGCTGATAGTCAGAAGCTGTTCCTGGGAGGTGAGAAATAAAACCGAGTGCTGTAGAGAGATGAACTCACTCGATAGCTTGCAGATAAAGATCAAAATCGTCGGAACAAATCACCGGAGGCGTACTGCATCTTCAAAGATCAGGAGCAAGGCAACATCGCGTGGACGACCAGCCTGATGCTGAAGGAGATCGACGAAGACTGCGCTGAGGTGGTGGAGAACCCCTACGTCTATGTTACCCAAGGGTGGGACAGTGAGACCAACTCGATCAGCTTCTCTATGAACATCGAAGGATTGCAGCGGGACTACACCCCTGCTCCACTGAGCGCGAAAGAGCAAGGTCGCTCGATCGGGGGAGTAGCGCCGGTGCAGAGATTCTACATCCAGAATTTTCCTGCAAATGCTGATGATGCGTCGGCCTGTGGACGCTGCGACGACAGCGAGTCCGATGCTGACCGGCCCGCAACAGGAGAGAGCGTCAAGACTTGCAGCGAGGGCGAAGAGTCTGAATCAAAATCTGGGGCGCAGGAGAGCAAAGAGGAGGGTGCCGATGCCAGACCTTTGAAACTCGCCAGCTCATCCAAAATATGGAAGAAGCTCAGACGGCTGGCAGCGAGGGATTGGAAGGCAACTGACAAGCAGAAGAAGACGTCAACTTTTTCGCCTTCCTGGATTCCTCGATGTTTGAACAAGACAATGATCAGCACAGAGCTGAACGACGAATTCGATGATGTAACCTTTGTGCTCTCCCTCTCGATTTCCTCGATGTGATTCTCTTCCCGTGCAGAGCTCTCCCCTCTGGACAGATTCCTCCTGCCCTATGGACCTCAAGCGTGACTCCCAGGCCTCGCTCGAGGATGCAAGCTCCTCGTCCTCTACTTGCAAACTCTCCTGCCAGCCAATTGCCCACGAAGAAGTCGGCGACGTGATTGGCAGTCAGGAGCCAACGGGCAGCAGGGCCCGACAGTCCTTCTCCCCAGGCGCGGAGTCTTGCGACAGCTTCTGCTCTCACCGACGTCCATGGTGCGGCTGCGGCTGCGTGATGAAACCTATCAACGTGGACTCCTGGCCATTCACTAGCAAGGTGGGAGGCAGGAGGCCGGGCTGCTCTGTGGAGGCAGAGATCATCGTGACTCGATTCATACACCGCGATCCCTCCCTCTACTTGGGACAGAGACTCACCAGTCAGGATGATGTCAAGGAATCTTTCAAGCCTTCCCCGTCTAGGAACATTCATATCTCACATTTCGCTTGATTTCTTTGCCTTGTATTTGATGTAAAGTACGATTGTAATTGCGATTTCTGTCTCCCTCCATCTTCTCACACGGCCGTCGTTTCCTTTCTCATCAGGTCCTCTGTCTTTCTGAAATCCTCGGGAACAAACCAGAAGATAGAATCTTCAAGGCACAGCTCAGCACAAGGTGACCCAACAAGCATGCAGGCACCTGAGAAGCTGCGGGCTACCGACGGCCCCTTCACATTCCTCGCTAGAAATCCGCACAGCGCTCCTGAAGAAAGAGCAAAGGCGACGGTGGTAGGATACATTATAAGCTTAAGGAAAGTCAGGAGGAGAAGGAGCATGGGGGCGGTATTGCTATCAGCTGAAGAGGGGTTACCTGGTAACGAGCTGTATCGCCGTTGCCAGCGGTGTGCTGAAAGATTTGTCCGTACTCCAATCCGAAGGGCAGCGTCTTAGTCTGCTGGGAGATGTACTGAGTACCAGCCCATTTCCCCATGTAGGCTGTGTTGAGAGGAGCCACGCTGATGACGCCTGCAAGGTGTCGACATGAACAAGCTTGAGAGCTGACCCGAGCATGCTCACCTGCGATCCAAGCGATGGCGGAGGGGATGGCATGCAGGCTGACAACACCGACGGTGTCAGTTATCATCAGCTTCTTCTCGAGAAACTTTCGGAGGAAGTTGTGGGAGGTGCTGCAGGCAAAGCCTCCGGCAAACCCGATCAGCATGGCCTGGTAGGGTTGAACGAAGAGGGAGGCCACTGAAGAGATCGCTACTCCTCCGGATATGCAAGAGCGCTGAATGTCTGCAGGATCGAACTTGAACTGCTGTGAGTACAAGCTTGAGAACAGCATCGATGCTACACAACTGCTGAAAAGTGACAGGTAAGTGTTGATGACCACTGCTTGTTGCGCCGCAGCCGGGGCGAAGTATGCATTGATGGATGGAAAGGTGATCCAGTTCAGGATCACTCCTACAGTGCAGAGAACGTCTGCGTTGTACCTGTACACGCTCACACACCTGGAATTCATGGAAAGGTTGTTCTGCACCTTGGAGAGTTGTCCGGGTTGGAAGCCACTCCCTTTGGCGATGCAAACAGAGTGCAGCTAGACCATTCTCTCAGGTTGCTCATGAAAGGAGCAGCGCATGGCTTACCCGATGCCAAAGAAAGCGCCGAATGCGTGTATGATACAAGAGCCTCCCACGTGGTCCCATGCCCCCAGCACGTAGATGACGATCCAATAGTTGATTCCGTAGCAAGTCACGCAGGTGAGAGCGCAGAGCATCAGCTGGCTGGGGCCGACTTTACCGAGCAGCATCCCGTACGTGATCTGATGAAAAGTCTTTCACCAACATCTACGACCACAATGCCGACATACCTGCACGGGTATCGTTGCTAACAGGCCTTCCATCAAAGAGGGTAGAGTGATGACAAACGTGTTGTCAAAGTTCATCTTCCCTATCGTGATGAGGGTATGGTGGGCATAATTCGGCTGCTCTGTCACAATACTTCTGTTGCCATGGATGACATCCCACAGTTGGCATGAGCACGCCTGTTCAACCGAAATGCGATCGTCAACAGCGCACCTCTCCCAGTATTTCCAAACAAGCAGGGAACCTGTCTGAGCTGCTTCTGACTATAGGTCGGGGAGATCTGTTCGGCAGTGAATGGCGGTGTGCATTGCGCATCTATGTTTATGAAGTTTGACTTGAGGTACTGGACAAGCATTGAGCTTCCAAGTTAATATTCCCCTCTTGGTTGACTACCTGACAGTGTATGACGTCTATCAGCTGCATCCAGACGATCCCCCACTGCGCAGCGACCGTAGCCTGAAGCAGACCGAAAGACATGGTGCTGTATCCGAACTTCCTCAAGAAGGAGTATTGGAGAGCAAATCCCAGGTAAACATACGTGGTGATCTCGATGAAAAACCTTTGAGGAAGCATCAGAGTGTGGTTTCAGAGAGGCGGAAGAGAGTTGAACTACTTGAACTGGTTCTGCATGACGGTCTCCGCGAGCCGAGAAGTCAGACTCCCGTCTGGTCTTGGTCCCCACACATCAAAACCAGCAGGATACCTGAGATTCGATCACAATGTGCTGGAAGGTTGTTGTATCCCTCCTTTACCGTTTGAAGGGGATGACAGGCTCAGGCTGGGGCAAGGTAGGACCACCTTGGTCAAGGAGTGAGCGACTCATACCTAACAGCCGCATGCTCTACCTGGTTGTCCAACACCAGGGTACGCCGGAGGGTTCGGATGAGCAGGATACTTCTGGTGGTCTACATTCAGCATGAACACCACGATCAACCCGATCTGGAGGATGATGTTGATCGCCACGTGAACCTTTGATATGGTCAAGATCTCAGCAAAACCTTGAAGAGGATGAAGCATGCATACCGGCGTCTGTCCTGAGATCTCTTTCTTCCGCAAGGTTTCTTCGTCCTCTTTGAAGAAATTGACGGTCTTCTGCGCGATCTTGTAGAAAAGTAGTTTTGCTTTCGACATCCTGCTGCTCTGCTTCCCTGCTTCCCTGCTCTCTACTTCTCTTTGCTCCTCACAGATGCCTCACTATCCTCCTCAGCAGCTTCTCGTTCTTCACCTGCCTTCCTCCATTTCTCGCGTCTCGCCCATTTTGCCCGTTCGCTCTTTCATGCCATGTCCCTCCGGGTTCTACTGGCAGCATCACGGACCCCTACCCCACTTCACAAGGAGATGTTTGCCTCTAACCCCTACCTTCCATATACAATCTCAGGGGTGCTGTGAGAGTACCCCTACCCTTTCCAATGTACTAATCTGTGAACCTATTCGATGAATTAGTCAATATCTGCTGCCCGACTGAATCTTTAGCAAGTGAGCTGAGGGGAACCTGCAGTGGAGAGTTCAAACGATGGCGGTTGCCGCAGGAACAGAGCATGGGGTTGAAATGGACAAGGGGAGGTCGGGAGCGAGGGAAAGAGGAAGATAGAAGAGTCTGGAGAAGCAAGATGATGAAGGAGATGGACTTGGAGGTGAAGACACGTGGTACAAGGAATGGTTTAGTAGGACAACAATGTACTGACAAGTCTCAAGTGCATGGATTGATGCGTCTATCCTAATGACATGACTGCTCGAGTCGTAAGAGGAATTATCAAGAGCACATACCAAAAACATGAAGTTCATAAAAACATCAAAACATTTTGATTGGATCGAGTGTTAATCGAAACTTGAATCATGAAGATGTTGCCAAACTGATACATGTCGTTGCAGGTAGCCTGGGAATACAATCGACAATGACGGAGGTCAAAATCCTAATGGTGGGACCAAAGTCGAGCGGCAAATCTTCTCTTGCAAACTTCTTGGCAGATGCTGTTCAGAACTGTGAAAACCCGTCCATGGCTCCCACCAAGCCGACGGTTGGTACTAGAATCCTGGAGTTTGATCGAACTGTGAGGAAAGGGACAGGATCGGTGATGTGCTTTCCTTGATCTCTCTCTTTAAGCTTCTGTCCCTTCCCTCCCTCACCCCTGCTCCCTCCATCGCTCACTCACTTTGTGTTCCTTGAAGGTGAATGTTTCTGTGGAGCTGTGGGATGTGTCAGGGGATAGGGCCTACGAAGCAGCATGGCCGGCGATCATGCATGGAGCCATGGGAGCAATCTATGTGTACGACGCTGGGAACGCTGGGGAGGAGAAGGATCTGGATCAATGGTGAGACCCTTTTCTGCTGTGTGCTGGCTGATCTTGGTGAGCAGGCACAGATGGTTTGGGCAGAACATGGGCTTCAAGGACAGTCAATGTATGATCATGGCACACAGAAAGTCGCAGGACGTCAAGCCGAGTAGGAGCGCGATCCCCAAGTCACTAGCGCAGGTGCACGTGGTCTCGACGACGCTGGAAGAGAGCCATGACCTCATCAAAGAGGAGTTCGATAGGTGAGCTGTGGCAAGGATGCAGCAGGCGCGAGCTGAAGCTTGCTTGGCAGGTTCCTGGTTCACATCGAGACTGCGGCGCGTGAGATGAGACAGAAGGAGGAGCAGAGCGTTGTTGGGGATTGAGGTGTTTGGGAGGGACCTGTGTATACTCGAATAACAAGCGCATTGAAAGTATTTCGAGTCGGTTGTGATCGTGACGCGAGCAGTCTGGTCAAGGTGCTGCACTTGAGCCTCACTTGGGAGAGTGCGGAGAGCAGAGATCCGAGTAGTCCGCTTCATGGGCGCTCGGGAGCGGGCTTGCAGTAACATCCCACGTGGGTAGGAGACCATGCAGGCTGTGGCGATACTAGTCGGGAGGTAGATGCGGGCTGTGCTCTGCTGTCAGCCGGCCGGGCTGTCGGGAGAGGTCTTGACGCATCGGTGGGCATCCCGACGGCGGGTGTGAATGCAGGCCGCACATCGTCTCGACCATAAGCAGCATTAATTACCAAGGCTGTGACAGGGACAGCTGTGATGTATTACGATCGCAACAGGAGGCGGCTTCAAGCTATTCGCAAACTATGTCTCTCCTCCCGCACTGTGCCAGGGACTGGGTCCCGGCGCAAGCTGACGGCAGCCTTACAGCATCGCGCTTCTACATCACTCGGTCTCATCTTCGTCGAGGTAGTCACAGAGATGGTTAAGGTCATTCATGGCGTCAGCCTTGCAATGAAAGTAGTCGTCCGACATGTATGCTTCTAGTCCGTTGAAGAGCTCTGCTCTGAGGGCCTTGTCTCTTGATCTCATGTCAGCGACTTCCATCCTGAGGAGCTCGATTTCTGACCTGCAGGCATCGAGATCTGTTCGAATGGGAGCATAGCACACAAACATGGGCACTTGCCAGTCGAAAAGCTCGCAAAGGTCGGGATCAGCCTTGGCCTCTGACAAGAACGATCTCACTACCTCAGCCCCGAGCTCGAAGTCTTCTCTCTTGCCATTCACCAGTATCCCCGTAGCTGCAATCCTCGCTTGCTCTCCGATAAACTCCTCTTTCAGAACGTGACATAGCCGGCTGAGCTGGTAGATCTTTTCGCACACCTTGTCTGGCGTCTCTGCCATCTCGAACGAGATGTACTCGTGCTGTTTGACATGTACTTGCTTGTAATCCGCCGACCCCGCCGGGCCCGGCATGACTGCTATGACGTCGCTCGCTGGGTTGTCTATCACGGTCTGGAGCAAGACAGAGAGATACGCATCGTGCTTCAAACAGACCGTCATATCAGCTTGACAAACCATCCCGACGTGAGGATCGCCTCGCTTGCTCTCAGAGGTTCCGTCAAAGAGCATGCTTGGCGGCAGGCTCTGGGGGACCTTGGACTGGAAGCAAGCATTGAGCTTCATGCGGAACCGCTGCAAAGACGCCTCGGCTCGCTCGAGCTTCTTCACGTCGCTGTAACCGAGCTCGAGGCTATGTCGTTGATACGCTCCTACCTTGAAGACCCCAGCGAGGACCTGGAGGGGCATGGTGCGCGTGGTCGACAAGTGCGCTATGGTACCGCTGCCACGCAGCCTGAAGAGCTGTTCTTGCTCTGCCATAGTCGCTGCCGGCGCAGCGGAAGAAGCCGCGGTCGTTGGGCCGAAGTGAAACAAGGCGGGACCTATCGGGGGGGGGGGTGTCTGATAGAAGATCGCGCTGACCTCAGAGTCAGAGAGTAGAAAAGAGGAAAGGCAGCATCTCTCTGGTAGGATTGATGTTTTTTTTTTCGTTTCGAAGCAGACAACGACAAGATCCGACAGTCGTCTTCAGCTACAGCAAGTCCGCGCCAGAGGGCCCGGCATGCTCGCTCAGTGGTCATAGTGGGGCACGAGTCGCAGGACGTGAAGTCGAGTAGGAGCGCGATCCCCCAGTCACTAGCGCAGGTGCACGTGGTCTCGACGACGCTGGAAGAGAGCCATGACCTCATCAAAGAGGAGTTCGATAGGTGAGCTGTGGCAAGGATGCAGCAGGCGCGAGCTGAAGCTTGCTTGGCGGGTTCCTGGTTCACATCGAGACTGCGGCGCGTGAGATGAGACAGAAGGAGGAGCAGAGCGTTGTTGGGGATTGAGGTGTTTGGGAGGGACCTGTGTATACTCGAATAACAAGCGCATTGAAAGTATTTCGAGTCGGTTGTGATCGTGACGCGAGCAGTCTGGTCAAGGTGCTGCACTTGAGCCTCACTTGGGAGAGTGCGGAGAGCAGAGATCCGAGTAGTCCGCTTCATGGGCGCTCGGGAGCGGGCTTGCAGTAACATCCCACGTGGGTAGGAGACCATGCAGGCTGTGGCGATACTAGTCGGGAGGTAGATGCGGGCTGTGCTCTGCTGTCAGCCGGCCGGGCTGTCGGGAGAGGTCTGGACACATCGGTGGGCATCCCGACGGCGGGTGTGAATGCAGGCCGCACATCGTCTCGACCATAAGCAGCATTAATTACCAAGGCTGTGACAGGGACAGCTGTGATGTATTACGATCGCAACAGGAGGCGGCTTCAAGCTATTCGCAAACTATGTCTCTCCTCCCGCACTGTGCCAGGGACTGGGTCCCGGCGCAAGCTGACGGCAGCCTTACAGCATCGCGCTTCTACATCACTCGGTCTCATCTTCGTCGAGGTAGTCACAGAGATGGTTAAGGTCATTCATGGCGTCAGCCTTGCAATGAAAGTAGTCGTCCGACATGTATGCTGCTAGTCCGTTGAGGAGCTCTGCTCTGAGGGCCTTGTCTCTTGATCTCATGTCAGCGACTTCCATCCTGAGGAGCTCGATTTCTGACCTGCTGGCATCGAGATCTGTTCGAATGGGAGCATAGCACACAAACATGGGCACTTGCCAGTCGAAAAGCTCGCAAAGGTCGGGATCAGCCTTGGCCTCTGACAAGAACGATCTCACTACCTCAGCCCCGAGCTCGAAGTCTTCTCTCTTGCCATTCACCAGTATCCCCGTAGCTGCAATCCTCGCTTGCTCTCCGATAAACTCCTCCTTCAGAACGTGACATAGCCGGCTGAGCTGGTAGATCTTTTCGCACACCTTGTCTGGCGTCTCTGCCATCTCGAACGAGATGTACTCGTGCTGTTTGACATGTACTTGCTTGTAATCCGCCGACCCCGCCGGGCCCGGCATGACTGCTATGACGTCGCTCGCTGGGTTGTCTATCACGGTCTGGAGCAAGACAGAGAGATACGCATCGTGCTTCAAACAGACCGTCATGTCAGCTTGACAAACCATCCCGACGTGAGGATCGCCTCGCTTGCTCTCAGAGGTTCCGTCAAAGAGCATGCTTGGCGGCAGGCTCTGGGGGACCTTGGACTGGAAGCAAGCATTGAGCTTCATGCAGAACCGCTGCAAAGACGCCTTGCCTCGCTCAAGCTTCTCCACGTCGCTGTAATCGAGCTTGAGGCTATGTCGTTGATACGCTCCTACCTTGAAGACCGCAGCGAGGACCTGGAGGGGCATGGTGCGCGTGGTCGACAAGTGCGCTATGGTACCGCTGCCACGCAGCCTGAAGAGCTGTTCTTGCTCTGCCATAGTCGCTGCCGGCGCAGCGGAAGAAGCCGCGGTCGTTGGGCCGAAGTGAAACAAGGCGGGACCTATGGGGGGGGGGGTGTCTGATAGAAGATCGCGCTGACCTCAGAGTCAGAGAGTAGAAAAGAGGAAAGGCAGCATCTCTCTGGTAGGATTGATGTTTTTTTTTTCGTTTCGAAGCAGACAACGACAAGATCCGACAGTCGTCTTCAGCTACAGCAAGTCCGCGCCAGAGGGCCCGGCATGCTCGCTCAGTGGTCATAGTGGGGCACGAGTCGCAGGACGTGAAGTCGAGTAGGAGCGCGATCCCCCAGTCACTAGCGCAGGTGCACGTGGTCTCGACGACGCTGGAAGAGAGCCATGACCTCATCAAAGAGGAGTTCGATAGGTGAGCTGTGGCAAGGATGCAGCAGGCGCGAGCTGAAGCTTGCTTGGCGGGTTCCTGGTTCACATCGAGACTGCGGCGCGTGAGATGAGACAGAAGGAGGAGCAGAGCGTTGTTGGGGATTGAGGTGTTTGGGAGGGACCTGTGTATACTCGAATAACAAGCGCATTGAAAGTATTTCGAGTCGGTTGTGATCATGACGCGAGCAGTCTGGTCAAGCGGCTGCAGGCCGCACATCGTCTCGACCATAAGCAGCATTAATTACCAAGGCTGTGACAGGGACAGCTGTGATGTATTACGATCGCAACAGGAGGCGGCTTCAAGCTATTCGCAAACTATGTCTCTCCTCCCGCACTGTGCCAGGGACTGGGTCCCGGCGCAAGCTGACGGCAGCCTAACAGCATCGCGCTTCTACATCACTCGGTATCTTCTGTTTCTGGTCGATTGAGATAGTCAAGAAGATTCTCTAGCGTTAAGGTCATTCATGGCGTCAGCCTTGCAATGAAAGTAGTCGTCCGACATGTATGCTGCTAGTCCGTTGAGGAGGGTCTTGTCTCTTGATCTGATCGCAGCGACTTCCGTCTGGATCTGCGACATGAAGAGCTCGATTTCTGACCTGCTGGCATCGAGATCTGTTCGAATGGGAGCATAGCACACAAACATGGGCACTTGCCAGTCGAAAAGCTCGCAAAGGTCGGGATCAGCCTTGGCCTCTGACAAGAACGATCTCACTACCTCAGCCCCGAGCTCGAAGTCTTCTCTCTTGCCATTCACCAGTATCCCCGTAGCTGCAATCCTCGCTTGCTCTCCGATAAACTCCTCCTTCAGAACGTGACATAGCCGGCTGAGCTGGTAGATCTTTTCGCACACCTTGTCTGGCGTCTCTGCCATCTCGAACGAGATGTACTCGTGCTGTTTGACATGTACTTGCTTGTAATCCGCCGACCCCGCCGGGCCCGGCATGACTGCTATGACGTCGCTCGCTGGGTTGTCTATCACGGTCTGGAGCAAGACAGAGAGATACGCATCGTGCTTCAAACAGACCGTCATGTCAGCTTGACAAACCATCCCGACGTGAGGATCGCCTCGCTTGCTCTCAGAGGTTCCGTCAAAGAGCATGCTTGGCGGCAGGCTCTGGGGGACCTTGGACTGGAAGCAAGCATTGAGCTTCATGCAGAACCGCTGCGAAGACGCCTTGCCTCGCTCAAGCTTCTCCACGTCGCTGTAACCGAGCTCGAGGCTATGTCGTTGATACGCTCCTACCTTGAAGACCGTAGCGAGGACCTGGAGGGGCATGGTGCGCGTGGTCGACAAGTGCGCTATGGTACCGCTGCCACGCAGCCTGAAGAGCTGTTCTTGCTCTGCCATAGTCGCTGCCGGCGCAGCGGAAGAAGCCGCGGTCGTTGGGCCGAAGTGAAACAAGGCGGGACCTATCGGGGGGGGGGGTGTCTGATAGAAGATCGCGCTGACCTCAGAGTCAGAGAGTAGAAAAGAGGAAAGGCAGCATCTCTCTGGTAGGATTGATGTTTTTTTTTTTCATTCAGGACTCTCATCAACTGTCACCCGTACTTCTTTTTAACTTAGCTTTGAGTAAAGGGCGAAGTCACCCGTGATTGTCCTCTCACTGAATTTTAACTTAACTTTGAGTAAACGTGGTTGCAGGAGAGGTTTTGTCTGCCTTTTCCTTTTCCTAGTTTTCTGTTGAGGCGGGTTTGTTGGTATACCCATGCCTCCGTATAATCATGGGGTTGTTGTTGCGGAGGTTGAGGTTGAGGAGGAGGAGGAGGAGGAGGAGGAGGAGGAGGACGAGAGCGGATATTACGAAATCCAGATAGCCAAGAGGAAGAGTGGAGGATAAGAATCTGATCATAACCCGACAAGTTTGGAAGGAAGGATGCAGGTTCAGAGAGTTCTTGGAATCTGCTGTTGACGAAGGATGAGTCTTCTGGCATAATTGTTTAGAATGCCTGTTTAAGAGCATGTGGATTTGGAAGAATTTGTAGTTGCTGACTCTCGACTTATGCAGGAGAAGCGCCGTCATTGCAGCTGGTGTTGTAGTATCGGAAAAGATGGTGCATGATCTCTTTTTAGAATAGAATAGCAGACGGCTCACGAGATGGTGGATGTTTCGATTCTAGAGAGGCAGGAAGCTGAAAACAGTCTTGCTACTTTCATCTACTTCCTCCTCCTTGGATGCGGAGCACTTACGCCATGGAACTCCCTCGTCTCCGCCGTCGATTTCTTCAGCACTCTGTTTTCTCAATATGACGTCGCGGATGCGTTCGCCATTGCGAATTTTTCTGCCAGTCTTTTCTTCTTCCTGCTACAGCTCAAGTGGTTCCGATGCTTCCAGGCGAAGGCTTACATCTGCCTGTTCTTGTACTTTGCCGTTCTGTCTTTCCCGATGTATCAGGCATGGCGATACACTGAGCCCTTCCAGGAAGCGTCTGTGGACCAGGCTTTGCAGTTCGCTCTATTGGTAGGTTTGGTTGGCGTGGCCGGAGGAGCAGGAGCAGGGCTGCAGACAGTGTTCTTCAGCCTCTCCGGGCAGGTAGGTAGCACGTACACCGGGGCCTTCATGAACGGGCAGGCAGTTGCGGGATTGTTGACTTCTACATGCCGGTGAGCTCTGCTGAGAGGAGGATGAAGGAGGTGGAGTGAAAGAGGGGGGGAAGAGGGAAAGGGGAAAGAAAAGTGAGAGAGAGAAAGAAAGAAGAGAGCCTGAGGGAGAGTGGAGAGGAACATGGAGAGAGTTGAGACATGTTGGGGTGGCAGCGGATATGAGTGAACGGAGGGCAGGACAGAGGCGCTCGTTGGCATGTTTTCTTACACGTTCAATCTCTCATCTTACACTCACTCGATTCATTTCGTTGCTCCCCTTTCATTCCCCATGATTTCTAGCTCTGACTCGCATCTGCTTTCCCAGCATCCTGTCCAAGGTTTGGTTCGACGATCTGCCTCCTTTCGACGCCCTGCGCACCAGCTCCATCATCTACTTCATCTCCTCCCTCGTTGTTGTTCTCCTGTGCACCCTGTCGTTCTTCAGCTTGCTGCGGATGCCGATGGTGCGGCAGAGTCGATCCCATGCGCAGAATCTGAGGGAGGACGCTCTGGATGACGAGGAGAGAGAGATCTTAGTACCTGAGGAAGGCCTTCCTCCTCCTCCTCCTCCTGCTTCTCAAGACGCATCCGTCATTGATGTCTTCCGCAAAGTCCACCCGTCCGCCATCGGAGTTCTCTTCGTCTTTTGGCTCACCATCAGCCTCTTTCCTGGCATCACCACCAAGATCCCATGCGCAGGTCAGGACGATCGCAACTGGATGCCCATCCTCCTTATCGCCATGTACAACGTGGGAGACTTGGCGGGCCGAGTGGCTGGAGGGCACCTCTGCTATCTCCTCTCCGAGCGTTTCCTTCTCAGCTTCGCTGTCCTTCGTGTTGCCCTCATCCCTTTGTTCCTCCTCCTCCAGCGAAGTCCCCTGGTCCTCGCTCCTTTCCACAACGAGTCAGCTTTCCTTGCCGTCTGCCTCCTGGTCTGTTCTTCCTCTTCTCCTCTTGTCCCTCTGATTCTGCTTCCTCGCAGGCAGTATCGAATGGATTCGCGGCAACCATCTTCTTGATCAAGGGGCAGGAGCGAGTGTCAACAGGTGAACATGATTCTTTCCCCGGGCCTCTCCCTGCCATGCCTGTCGTACCCTTTCCTCTGCATCCTTTTATCTTCCGAGTCCCCTCCTTCCCGCTCTCCCTTCCTATTGCCGCTTATTCCTTCCTCTCCCTCTCCCTCCTCCTGCCTGCTCTCCGTCCTCATCCACCATTAGGTCCTCAGCGGGATACGGCTTCAACGCTGCTGGCGCTGTGCATGGTGACGGACCTCGTGACTGACCTCGTGACCCCGTGACTTCGTTTCTTCTCCTTCAGACGCTGGGCCTCACCCTCGGTGCTGTTTCTGCCGTCCCTCTCAACTTCCTCTCTGCATGAGTGGCTGCGGCCTCGTTGTCGGGAGCAGGAGCGCCCATGCTCAGATCAAGAGTCGCTCCTCTGATCGAGGACGGCGCGGCTGAGCCAGCGACAGCTGAGCATGGCAAGGGGGATCAGCAGGGGCGGCATGCTCTCAAGCTCCTTCTTCCTCTCCTGCTTCAGGAAACGAACTTCCTTCTCCATGCCGTCAGCTGAGCTTGCCAGCTCAAAGTGCAGCTGGACTTTCTGCTCGAGCTTGGCACTTGTCAGGTAAGGAGGGAGGAGGAAGGAAGATCTCACCCGAATGATCGAAGAGCGATCGTTGTCTTGAGACTTCACCTGAGCCGCCACATCCACCTCCTCCCTCCAACTCCGCAGGCGGTCATGCGCATTCTTATCACGCTCCTCCTCCTCCTCCTCCTCCTCCTCCTTCTCTCGCTGTAGTTTCACTTTGAACATGACGTAGTATGCATCTTTGTCTCCGTCGTATCGAACCTTCAGCGGAAGCTGTGATCTGTCCCTCCTCACCCACACCTCCTACGGGGTAACAATCAGAACTCCTCCTCCTCCTCCTCCTCCTCCTCCACCCATCACTACTACTAATCCGCTTCCTCCTCCTCCTTCGCTTCTTCTTATTCCGCCATCACCTATTACTACTCCCCCTCCAGCTCCGTTTGCTCCTACTTATTCTTCCTTCTCCCTCTCCTCCCTCCTCTCATCTCTTTCCTCATCCTCATCCTTGTGGTTCGTGCTTGCCTGGAACAAAAAGCCCCAAAGGAGTAGCTTGACCCACACAAATGCTCCTCGTAGGGCGATGAAATGCCCGGCCGAATTTCTGAAGCAAGGTCGGCCATCCGAGAGGCAGACCTAGCGGGAAGGTAAGGAGGAGGAGGGGGAGGAGGAGATTTTTGGCGGGTAACTGGCTAGTGAGAAGCGCACAAGAACAAGGGGAGGAGAAAGTAGACCTGAAGCTCGTAGAGCATATAGGAAGGGGCGAGCAGAGAAGTGAGCATGAAGTAGTATTGGCGCAATGACGCCACGTCCCGGCAAAGGTCAGATCTGCAGTCAAAGACATCCGTGATCGCCTTGTCTTGTTGGAGACGGTGGGGCTCGGAACCTGTCGGGCGAAGAGGAGATGTCAAGGAAAGGAGGCAGGGGATGTTTTGACATGAGGCACCGGGAGCTCCGTCCCCGGGCTCACTCCCTTGGACGAGTGTTGAGAGATGTCGGGGAACGAGAGTGTCTGCCGATGTTCCTGCGAGAAACGATGAATGGGGCTGATGCAAAGAGGCAAAGGATCTCTTCACTTACGATGATTCAATTCTCCTTTGTCCTTGCCCTTGTCCTGGGGAGAGCGACTGGATTTCTTGTCGTCGTCGTGTCGATAGCTGACCAGAGTTATGTCCGGTCTTGAAGCTGTTTGCACGGGTGGATGCTCTAGCGCAGGAGGGAAGGAGGGTTGAGAAGAAGGGATCGGAATTTCACTGCGAACAAGCTCTGCCTGATCACTCAACTGCGATTCATCTTGTTCATCAGCAGCTGGCGCATGCGTCTGCTGAGAAATTTCTTGGGAGGGAGCAGCAGCAACGTGTTGAGAAACAACATCGGCATCTTGAAACACAGCAGAATGAGAATCTGATGTAACATTTGTGGAATCTGAATTGATACGTCGATCAGAAGGAACTATCCGTCCAAGATGTGCTGGCAAATCTCTTGATGACTCTGAAGATCGGGATAGCAGACTGTCGATATGATTCAACCGACTTTGCAGCTTCTCCTCCTCCTCCTCCTGCTCCTCCTCAGACTGTGCTGTTCCCGTCCTTGCTCGCCTGGCTGCCTCCTCCTTGGAAAGGTGCAAGCGGCAGGAAGCAAGCATCTCGTGCAGGAAGTTTTCATACCTGACATACGAGTCGGTAAAGAAGGAGAAATGTTGAGGGAGGAGTGGATGGAAGACGAAAGTGAGGGAAAGACGGAGGGGGGAGGAGGAATATGAAGAGGGAGGGGGGGACGGAGGTACTGACCTAGATTTTTCCTTGCGAAATGGATATGACCAACAGTCTGGGAACCAACGTTGTAAACCCTGCTTTCGGTTACGGCGCAGCCTTTTCTGGGGAGGTCGCCATGACCTTCTTGCTCTGCTATGTGGTCTGGGAAACTGCCGTGACTCTCGCTGCGGGCAGGCAGCCTGCATTCCTATCGGTTTTGCCGTCTTCCTGGCGCACGTCGTGTTGCTGCCCATCGGTGCGAGTCTCATCTGCGTGACAGTGACGCATCTGATTCTGCTCCTCCAGATGGTGTCCTATCAACCCCACCCGCTCCTTCGGCCCGGCCGTCATCTCTAGCATGCGAGGTTGTCCCAAGTA